AGGGCAGGCTAGCAGAGATTGGAGGAGGAAATGGACGGACCCCGAGAGGAGGGCAGGCTAGCAGAGATTGGAGGAGGAAATGGACGGACCCCGAGAGGAGGGCAGGCTAGCAGAGATTGGAGGAGGAAATGGACGGACCCCGAGAGGAGGGCAGGCTAGCAGAGATTGTTTGAGGAAATGGACGGACCCCGAGAGGAGGGCAGGCTAGCAGGATTGTGAGGAATGACGGACCCCGAGAGGAGGGCAGGCTAGCAGAGATTGTTTGAGGAAATGGACGGACCCCGAGAGGAGGGCAGGCTAGCAGAGATTGGAGGAGGAAATGGACGGACCCCGAGAGGAGGGCAGGCTAGCAGAGATTGTTTGAGGAAATGGACGGACCCCGAGAGGAGGGCAGGCTAGCAGAGATTGGAGGAGGAAATGGACGGACCCCGAGAGGAGGGCAGGCTAGCAGAGATTGTTTGAGGAAATGGACGGACCCCGAGGGAGGCAGGGGGACCGAGAGGAGGGCAGGCTAGAAAGGAGGAGGAATGGACGGCCCCGGAGGAGGGCAGGCAAGAAGGAGGAGGAAAGGACGGACCCAAGAGAGGGCAGGCTACAGAGAGGAGGAGGAAAGGACGGCCCGAGAGGAGGGAGGCAGCAGAAGGAGAGGAAAGGACGAGAGGAGGGAGGCTAGCAGAAGAAAAGGACGGACCCCAGAGGAGGGCAGGCAGCAGGGAGAGAAAGGACGACCGAGAGGAGGGCAGGCTAGCAGAGATGTTGAGGAAATGGACGGACCCCGAGAGGAGGGGCAGGCTAGCAGAGATGGAGGAGGAAATGGACGGACCCCGAGAGGAGGGCAGGTAGCAGAGATGGAGGAGGAAATGGACGGACCGAGAGGAGGGCAGGCTAGCAGAGATGTGAGGAAATGGACGGACCCCGAGAGGAGGGCAGGCTAGCAGAGATTGTTTGAGGAAATGGACGGACCCCGAGAGGAGGGCGGCTAGCAGAGATTGAGGAGGAAATGGACGGACCCCGAGAGGAGGGCAGGCTAGCAGAGATTGGAGGAGGAAATGGACGGACCCCGAGAGGAGGGCAGGCTAGCAGAGATTGTTGGAGGAAATGGACGGACCCCGAGAGGAGGGCAGGCTAGCAGAGATTGAGTTTGAGGAAATGGACGGACCCCGAGAGGAGGGCAGGCTAGCAGAGATTGTTTGAGGAAATGGACGGACCCCGAGAGGAGGGCAGGCTAGCAGAGATTGGAGGAGGAAATGGACGGACCCCGAGAGGAGGGCAGGCTAGCAGAGATTGTTTGAGGAAATGGACGGACCCCGAGAGGAGGGCAGGCTAGCAGAGATTGTTTGAGGAAATGGAAGGACATCTGCAGTATGCAGGGAGACAGGGGGCATATGCTGTCACTCCATTTCTCTCTCTCTCTCTCTCTCTCTCTCTCTCTCGCCCTCTTTTTTGAGGCGCTGTCTTTTTAGAGGAGGGGCAGTGGCCAGCCGTGTGGGGTGTCCACACATACGCATTGTACGAAAATATATGTGGTGAGGACCCCGAGGGGGGAATGGGGTCCGATTTCCCCGCCCGAGACCCCCCCCCCCCCAAATTTACATACAAGGTGGCGGCTGGCGGAGGAATTTTGCGATTCGAATCGTGTTTTTTGAAGGGATCAGGACGGCCGGTACTTTTGCATTATCGGGGGGGAGGGAAGAGTTTTGTCGAATTCCAACAATGCTTAATAACGGAATAATACGGATTTTAACGGTTTTTAAAATTTTAACTATATTTAAGGTCGAGAATCTATCTAAAGTACCTGAAAAATGTTAAAATTGAATATTTTGCGCGAAAATCGGCAATTTTTTGGAATTTTTAGCTTATTCCTCGGGTTTTTAATCTGATTTTTCGAATAGAAATTAGGCTAACCTCTCCCCCCGATAACGCGAAAGCTCCGGCCCTTAAAAATATGCAAAATCATCTGGCACGTTCAAGGGTTGGGGATACGTCTCAGGTCGTTGTTTTCCGGGGCCCAAGGGACTCTTTTTTAACCTCTCCCCAAAAATGGCCGCCGTCGGTCGCGTCGCCAAAAATGTGTACAATTTGTCAGCGCACACATCGATTTGTCGCCTCGCTTTTTCGGGCCCTCAAAAGACCCATTTCTCAGGGGGAAACGGGGAGAAAACCCGGTCGTGTTCTGAACACACGAAAATAGAAACTAAATAAAATGAAAAAAATGGGAAAAATGTCAGTTTTCGCATCTTAAAACATGTTGAAGGTTTTTTTGCAACTTTCTAGCGAACAAAAACTACGAAAAACGCGAGAAAACTACGCAATTTATTCTTAACGAATTGCTATCAGCATGTCGAATTTCATAATGTCGAAATGCCATAATGTCGAAATTTCATAATGTCGAAAATCATAATGTCGAAATTCATAATGTCGAAATGCCATAATGTCGAAATGCCATAATGCCGAAATTTCATAATGTCGAAATTTCATAATGTCGAATTTTCATAATGCCGAAATTTCATAATGCGGAAATTTCATAATGTCGAAATTTACATAGGCTAATATTACCGGTGAAACCCCCGAATCCTAGCCAAAAAAAATTTTCCACATTCTATTTTTTTATCTTATTTCACGACAACATTTTTTGCCTAGAATTCGGGGACTTTGCCGGGAATTTTAGCTTATGTAAATTTCGACATTATGAGATTTCGACATTGTGAATTTCGACATTATGATTTTCGACATTATGAATTTCGACATTTTGAAAATAAGCCGGTAATGGACTGTTAGCAGGGGGAATAATTTTTCACAATAATCCTGTACGGCCCGATAACGAAATCAACCATTTTAGACAGTTTTCTGGATAAAACTAGCTCTTAAAAAAACTCCCGCAAATCTCGAAAACTTTTGGGCTACTTTATCTATGTGGAAATGATAAAAAAATTTAGAAAATTGTCACTTTTCCTGTTTAAAACATTTTTTTTTTACAAAAAAAAACTAAAACATTTCAGATTTTTGGTAACTTTCTATCGATTAAAAAACGTTGAAGAACGTTTTAAAATGACACGATTTTTTTATTTGCAGTTAGGATGGATATGTAAACGAAAAAAATTGGTTCAACCTGCGTAACCCCCCCGCTAACAGTCCAGTACCTTAAACTTTCAAGGCCATGGGGAAACGAGAGAGAGAGAGAGAGAGAGAGAGAGAGAGACAGCGAGCAGGCTAGCAGAGATTCTTTGCGGAACACCGTATTATACCCCCAAAATGGCTAATAGAAACGGAAAAGGGGGCAAATAATATCAGCCGTCCGTCCGCTGGCGATGCTGGTGCGAGCCGTTCGGGCGTATTGAAATGGAAATTTCTTGCGGGACCGGGAGACGATAAGGAGCCGCACACCAGCAGGAGGGGGGGATGAGGAGGACGGGCAGCCGGATGGGAATCTCGGTCACAAATGGTGAAAGGGTGCGCGCAGAGCGGCGAGAGAGAGAGAGCGAGAGAGAGAGAGAGAGAGAGAGAGAGAGAGAGAGAGAGAGAGAGAGAGAGGAGAGAGAAGAGAGAGAGAGAGAGAGAAGGAGGAAAGAGAGTGAGAGGGAGAGAGAGAGAGAGAGCAGCGATCAAAGGACTGGAAAGGGGGATGGTCGCCGCAGGGTGCCCCCCCAAAGAACCTCCCTAGAGGATTGTCGGTTTTATAAAAAAGTGATACCTTAAGTTTTACCTTAAGGGTGGCTACCGTAACCATTATAGCGAAATTTATATACTACAAACCTATAAAATTTAACTAAAAAGATATATATATTACGGAAATCCAAAGTTTAGCTTGAACGCCAATCTAAAAAAGGAAAGGCTCTGGTTCCTTAACGGGGGGGGACGGTATCGGGGGTAAGGTAGCAGCCGTTGAGGGCTATCCAAAGACACCCCCCCCCGCTAACGCACAAGAACCCCAGAAATGTTGATCAAAAACTAACTGTGATAAAAATTTTCGACTGTGGAAGACGGCTTTCCCCCTGAAAAATTTTTACCCATTAAAGTGTCTTATCCTACTATATATAAAAAAAAAAGTGTGTGTGGGGGGGGTGTGCATGCAAGACCTTCCGGCCGGGATCCGTCGTATCTCAATAGGAGAGGAAGTTAAAAGTACGTATGATACGTCATTAGGTGCGTAATGGTCATGACACGACTGCACACATATGAGATTTTTAAAAATCCGCTGTTTTCGATATTAAAATTAAGTTTTTGTGAAAATCTCGCTCGGCCTCTTTGTTAGGAATCAATTTGCATCCACCGGAAGGGGGGAAGCCTATATAAGGGGGGGGGGGCGCTTTTCATTTTTCCGCGCAGGAATTCAGGTGTTTATGCAAAGTGACGAACTATGGGGGTAAGACGGGGCCAGGGTTGAAAAGTCGAAGCAGCTTTTCAACCCTGGTTCTGGTGCTAAAAATATAATGTAATTGCAGCGCATTAGTATAGCGTATTTGTAAAGTACGTTTTATGCAATTATAGCTTCCAAAAATTTAGGTGTTACCGATCTGCAACGTTCCGGTTCATCCCTTCCGGGTACCGTATCCCGAGTCTTGCTCTCTCTCTCTCTCTCTCTCTCTCTCTCTCTTTCTCTCTCGCCAATATTCAAGTGTCGGTGGCCTCATTATCACCTGCACACACACCCCCACTGACCCAGATGATTATGGCTGGCTCCAACACCCCCAAAGTGATATGCAAATTGCAATATGGCGGAACATGGGGAGCTGCGTAAAGTCTCGGCCCATTTCCTCAAACAATCTCTGCTAGCCTGCCCTCCTCTCGGGGTCCGTCCATTTCCTCCTCCAATCACTGCTAGCCTGCCCTCCTCTCGGGGTCCGTCCATTTCCTCCTCCAATCTCTGCTAGCCTACCCTCCTCTCGGGGTCCGTCCATTTCCGCAAAGAATCTCTGCTAGCTTGCCGAGGTTAAACTCTAATATCGTGATAGAACATATAAAAATTTATTGCAAAAAATCCTCTCAATTCAAATTTTTTATCGTCCCTGCACGGTCAGCAGATAGGTGCCGATCTGTTGGGGCTTTAGCGTGATGGTGGAGTCTAAAAATTAAGGGTTTAATCAAGATATTTTTATTGAAGGAAAGTGATTTAATTAAATATATTTTTTATATATTTAAATTTATTTTGTATTTTCTTTTTAATTAAATCTCGCAAAGCTTTTGAAAATGAGCTAAAAAAGTTACCAGTTCCGGGGCCATTCCGATTGGCGCCCAGTGACAGTTCTTGGACGGCGGTTACGGTAAGTCTGGCGAAGAGCTTCTAAAAAGGGTAGCTTTTGCTGGGCTTTAATTAGATTAATGGAATTTCCCAAGGAATCTCTCCCTCCCTCTCTCTCTCGTCTTCTGATTTCCTAAAGAATCTCTGCCAGCCTGCCCACCTTCAAGTCGATGGTAACCGGACTGGAGAGCGTGGCATCTTCGTTGGCCTGGAAAATGTGCTCAAGCCGGAGGAGTACGGTATTCTGGCTTCTCTGCTCCAGTGACAGCACATTAATGCTAGCCGGCAGTTCCTTGATCAGGCCGGCAAACTGAAAAATTACGGTCGAGTAGTAGGGAAGTTGGCTTGAGCTTGGGCTTGGCTTAGGCTTAGGCCTAGGCTTAGTTGCCCGCAAAGGTTAGGCTTAGGTTACAGGCATGTAAATCAGCATAAGACTGGGATCGGTAAAAACGACGCGGCACGCTCGACCCTGCTCGTGCTCCCCTGTTTTCCATAGCGTAACCGGTTGGCTTTTTGCTAAATTCTAGATGAGTGCGGGATTAATTAGCCTTGCCTATCCCTTTAAAAGCATAGACCCTTCAACACTACCGTACCCTGGTGAGGTAGTTCTTGCGGTAAGTGGGATAATCCTGGACATCGGCGAACATTGGCACCGGCTTGTGGAATACGCCGACGGCTAGTGGACGGTGCGTGGACGCGGCTGTCTGAAAAAGGGGGCTAGCAGAGATTGTTTGAGGAAATGGACGGACCCCGAGAGGAGGGCAGGCTAGCAGAGATTGTTTGAGGAAATGGACGAACCCCGAGAGGAGGGCAGGCTAGCAGAGATTGGAGGAGGAAATGGACGGACCCCGAGAGGAGGGCAGGCTAGCAGAGATTGTTTGAGGAAATGGACGGACCCCGAGAGGAGGGCGGGCTAGCAGAGATTGGAGGAGGAAATGGACGAACCCCGAGAGGAGGGCAGGCTAGCAGAGATTGTTTGAGGAAATGGACGGACCCCGAGAGGAGGGCAGGCTAGCAGAGATTGGAGGAGGAAATGGACGGACCCCGAGAGGAGGGCAGGCTAGCAGAGATTGTTTGAGGAAATGGACGAACCTGAGAGGAGGGCAGGCTAGCAGAGATTGTTTGAGGAAATGGACGGACCCCGAGAGGAGGGCAGGCTAGCAGAGATTGGAGGAGGAAATGGACGGACCCCGAGAGGAGGGCAGGCTAGCAGAGATTGTTTGAGGAAATGGACGAACCCCGAGAGGAGGGCAGGCTAGCAGAGATTGTTTGAGGAAATGGACGGACCCCGAGAGGAGGGCAGGCTAGCAGAGATTGGAGGAGGAAATGGACGGACCCCGAGAGGAGGGCAGGCTAGCAGAGATTCTTTGAGTTGTAAAGAAGACCGACCTTGACATCCTGCAGCAATACCGTATGCTTTCCCCTGACAACCAAGCCACGCCCATCCTTGCCGGGTTCATTCAGCGCCTCATCCACGCCGAAGTGGTCGTCGAAGAAGCAGCGACGGTGGAGCTGAAATTAGCGTTAAATTAGGTCCGACGCCTAAGCCTAAGCAAGCCTAAGCTAAAGCTAGCCTAAGCCTAAACCTAAGCCTAAGCTAAGCTTAAGCTAAGTCTAAGCCTAAGCCATCGTTACCGGCTCACCATCAATTCCAGGGATCCATCGGCGAGACTGGAGGCGGCCTGTGCTCGATCGGGGAGTACGGTGAGCTGCGTCGAGGCGTCCCTGAATATTTTAAATAAAAAAATCTAGAAAAGGATTTGGACCATTTAAAAGGCATCTTATTAGCCATTTCACTTACTTGAGGAAAAGTCGATTGGTGACCGGATAATAATTACCGGCAACGGGTTCCGTGTTGTTGAACGGGAATGTCGGGTACGAGTTGCGGCTGGAAACGATAGAATTTATACGAAAAGAGGGCAGGCTAGCAGAGATTTTTTGAGGGAATGTTATGCTTACATTTAGCCAGGCGAGAGTGATTAAAATAAAGCAGTTAAGATTCAACGCTGTATGGGATTTTGGTGAAGCATGGTTTTTGAAAATCTCCATTTTTGTGTAAAATCTTTTTTTAATTTTTTGAAGCGAATTACAATAGCCTTCTGAAATTTTAATAAACTTAAAATAAATTAACGCATTGAAAAAATAGAGGACGGTAGGCTAGCAGAGGTTCTTTGAGGAATTGCTATCAAGAGCCGTTCAGACTCATTACCCAGTCAAAATTCAACGCTGTACCGGATTTGGGTGAAACATGGTTTTTGGAAATGCCCATTTTTCTATGTATTAAATTTTTTTTATTTTTCTAAGCTTTTAAATTCTAAATAAACTTAGAATAAATAGGCTCATTAAAAAAATCGAGGACTAGCAGAGATTCTTATGGAAAGTTATGCCGAACCAGTTCTGAAGCGATTAAGCGGTCAGGATTTGGCGCAGCACCGGATTTTCGTGAAGGACGTTTTTTTTCGAATGCTGGGTATTCAATTTTTTTATTTTAATTTTTCTAGCTGATTTTATAGCTGATTACATTAGCTTTTATAAATTCTAAATAAACTGAGGGCTGGAACAGTCCCTAATAAGCGATTAACCAATCCAAATTTGGTGCAGCATAGGATGGTCCAGAAACATTTTTTTCGAAATTTCCCATTTTTCTTGGTACTCGCACACACACTCTTCCACCCCGAATCCGGTCGATTTCCCCATAGCAATCGGAAAATCAATGCGAAGTCGATCGGATCCACCCGGTTTCCCATCGATTTCCGGGTAGATTTGGGGTGGAAGCAGGAGGAATCCGTCCGCCGATCGGAAATTGAGGGGAAACCGAGCGGATCCGATCGACTTCCCATCGGTTCCCGATTGTCCCTTCGGATCCGCCTCCGGTCCTCCCCGTGCTTCCGCCCCATTTCCGCTCATCCGCCCCGTTTCCCATCGATTTCCATGCCTTCCACCCGCAATCCAGGTGGAATCCATACGGAATTCGGGTGGAAGCACGGACCGGCTGATTACAGGCTGATTACATTAATTTTTTAAAATCTAAATAGACTCAGAATCAATAGGCTCATTGAAAAAATAGAGGATGGCAGGCTTGCAGAGATTCTTTGAGGAATTGCTATCACGATTGTCCGAGGCATTACCCAGTTAAAATTCGACGCAGTACCGAATTCTGGTGAAGCATGCTTTTCGAAATTTCCCGTTTTTCGGTGTGTTACAACTTTTTTAATCGTTAAAATAATTACGATAGTTTGTATAAATTCTAAATCAATTATAGAATAGGCTCATCGAAAATCGACTTAAAAACCCGTAATTTAACTCATTTGGCGACAAATTAAATTTGCCTCAAAAAGACGATAAAATAGTGCATGAAAATGACGATAAAAGGGCTATAATAATTTTCTTACGTTCTCTTGAGAACCTGGCGACCGTTGGAGTCCGTGTAGAAAATGCCGGCCGACGCAATATTTGTCGAGTAGCGCGAGATCACCTCTTTTCCGGTTGGGATTCTGGAAGAAAAAAAAATAGTCCATTAATAAGCTTAAAAGATCTATATTAGAAATATACTCGGGGTCTACTTTATCGCCGAGTTTCATAAAATACCGCTTAATTTTTTGTTTGGTTCACACGTGCCCGTGATTCTCGAGATAATTTTACGATTTTACTGAACGAGGTATTGAAACATATTTTTCAACCTCCCGATGATGCGTAATTCCGTTAAAGGGATACCCAATGTTTCGCCGGCAAATATATAGTTATGTATTCCGGGCATTACAAATGACGCGCGAATTTTGTGCGGCAATGGGCCCCAAAGCCGCACAGAATTCGGACCCCTTTCCCTCTTGTGACGTTCCCATCCCACCCAACGGCTTGCCACTATGGCCTAATGGATAGCATCCAGGTCTTCAAAACGAGGGTCCCGGGTTCGACCTCCGCCGGCGGCATGGTTTTTGCTTTTTGAGCCCCGAAAAGGTTGGGCATCCCTTTAAAGGGATCCCGACGGCATAGTCAATCGGTTACGCGCTGGAAAGAAAATGTCTCTGCGCCTCTCCGCTGGGCGCGCTCTCTGCCCTGTTGGCTACTTGCCAATTTGTTGATGGGGGATCGACAGATGCCGTCAGCAGCCCTTTAAATGCCATTTTTCTTGGCTATGACTCTACCCCCCCCGCAGCCGGAATGTTTTGGCTATAACTTTTTTATGTTACATTATTGTAGGCTCAAATTAAAACTCTTAGTATATTTTTCTACGCTCTATCGAATGGTCTTGCAAAAATCCCGACAAATGAAGCGAAAATACCGAACACTTTGAGACCCTTCGGCTGTGGGGTGGGGGGTTAAGTAAAGTCTACCTTTTTCTTTTCCTTTTCCATAGACTCGGAAAGAAAATTTTAAAATAGGTATCTGAATTGCAGATTGGTTTAAATATGGCGATTACTACTGGTAAAAACAACAGCCTTTTTAAAGCGTGTTTTATTATGCAAATATTATCCAATCTCCATTTTTTTATACGAAACGTGTAATTAAACGCAATGTCAGCAAAAAAATGCTAGTTTTTAATCCTAAAATTTCTTTGCTGAAATTCATTTAATTTTAGAGCGAACCTAGCGATTGATAGTCTCGGAACGTTGCGCACGAAATTGCAGATGAAATTTTCGATTTCACCGTGGTATAAATTGAAACATCTTTTGAAGTGTCGGATGTTTAGTTTTCTTTAAAATCTCATTAACACTTTTACAAGGGCAAAAAGAGCAAATTTTAAATGTTTAAATTTTAGAATAGGTATTTAGATTCCAGATTTTTTTAAAAATACGCATACTACAGGCAAAAATCAACCCTTTTTGTACGTGCAACCTTTGCTGGGCATTATCGGCCAAATTTCCGAGCCCACCAGGTAATAAATTGAAACATTCTTTGGTTTTTTTGCATTATTGGGGGGCGGGCAAATGTTTTTTTTTGTAAAATTCTTTGTAAAATTTTTTTGTAAAATTCTAGAAAATCCAGTAAGGTCATCGTATTCTTAATAAAAACTGGCTGTATTTCAAGGAACCCCGGTCAAAAATCAGGCAAATTATTGTAATAAATATAATTCCCTTTATTTATGCCCCCGCCCGCTAATGCGGCGGCTTGGAAAGCGCCGATTTGTGCCTCCCCGCTAATGTAAAAACTCCTGCTTGAAAAACGGCGCTCTTTCTTGAAAAAGAATACATATGGGCCTGGAAATTAGAGGCAAATCAGATTTTGATGTCGAAATCTAATTAAAACTATTAGTTGAACGAAAAATGACTAAAATAGAATCAGGTTTTTTAAAGAATGATTCGGATTAACTGAAACATCTTGATTTCAAGCGGAAACATGGAAAATGTGAAATTTCAAAAATGATGGTTTTCACAAATTTTATACTTTAATCTAGTTCAAATTGTCGCTCCATATCCTTCCTAATTTATCATTTTGTAAAATTAGTTGAATTGAATTGACTGACAGGAATTAAAATTCGGAACCCGCAAAATTTTTGGCCGTTCCAGAAACATCAAATTTTTCAAAAATTATTTTTTCTGAAATTGGTTTTTTTAACCTGAATTCTTGGTAAAATATACATGAAACTTAAATGTTGTATAAAAACGCTTTTCTTACAGTTTTTCATACGGTATCGGGCCGACGACCCAGTCGAATTCGATGAACGTTTGATTTTCGTGGAGGCGGATCGTTTGGGAGACCCAATCCGTCACTTTTTGCCGGGCTTCGAATACGGTTGGGCCCTAAATAAATGGAATAAAAATTTATAGCACAAATCTAAGTAAAAATTCAATTTAAAAGGCGCTAAAACGCTATTTAAACGGATCTAAGTTTTAAAGGAAAAAGTTTAAAAAATTTTGACCCTAATAAGTTCCAGCTGAATCGATTCGGAGATGATCTCTGGCATTTGTTTGGACGGGCGGAAAATGTAGGCACCAGATGGCTGACTTCCGAGGCCTGCGCTCTGAAATTGGGCAGGCTAGCAGAGATTGTTTGAGGAAATGGACGGACCCCGAGAGGAGGGCAGGCTAGCAGAGATTGTTTGAGGAAATGGACGGACCCCGAGAGGAGGGCAGGCTAGCAGAGATTGTTTGAGGAAATGGACGGACCCCGAGAGGAGGGCAGGCTAGCAGAGATTGTTTGAGGGAAATGGACGGACCCCGAGAGGAGGGCACTAGCAGATTGTTTGAGGAAATGGACGAACCCCGAGAGGAGGGCAGGCTAGCAGAGATTGTTTGAGGAAATGGACGGACCCCGAGAGGAGGGCAGGCTAGCAGAGATTGTTTGAGGAAATGGACGGACCCCGAGAGGAGGGGCAGGCTAGCAGAGATTGTTTGAGGAAATGGACGGACCCCGAGAGGAGGGCAGGCTAGCAGAGATTGTTTGAGGAAATGGACGGACCCCGAGAGGAGGGCAGGCTAGCAGAGATTGGAGGAGGAAATGGACGGACCCCGAGAGGAGGGCAGGCTAGCAGAGATTGGAGGAGGAAATGGACGGACCCCGAGAGGAGGGCAGGCTAGCAGAGATTGGTTGAGGAAATGGACGGACCCCGAGAGGAGGGCAGGCTAGCAGAGATTGTTTGAGGAAATGGACGGACCCCGAGAGGAGGGCAGGCTAGCAGAGATTGGAGGAGGAAATGGACGGACCCCGAGAGGAGGGCAGGCTAGCAGAGATTGTTTGAGGAAATGGACGGACCCCGAGAGGAGGGCAGGCTAGCAGAGATTGGAGGAGGAAATGGATGGACCCCGAGAGGAGGGGAGGCTAGCAGAGATCGTTTGAGGAAATGGACGGACCCCGAGAGGAGGGCAGGCTAGCAGAGATTCTTTAGGGAAAGCGCGAACCTCATAAAAGTAAAATTGCTGCTTGAGAAGCTGTCGATTGCCGGTGGTCTTGTCGACGACGGCCTCCAATGAGCCATCTACATTGAATTCCAGTCGGATTAACTATAAAAAAGGTGTATTAATGGGTAAAGTCACTACCCCGAAAGTCACTACCCCGAAATAATTTGCATGATTTTCATAGGAAATCCGCATGAATACTGGATTTTTCCGGGAAAAACAATGCTATCATTTTTCGGGGTAAACGATTTCGGGGTAGTGACTTTTCGGGGTGGTGACCGAACGCCGTGTATTAACACATATTCTGGACTCTGAAAAAATTAATAATCTATTTTTTTGGTAAATTAAGCTGAACGTACGCTATTTTCCAAGGTCGACGTCGCGTCGCGAAGCGGCGTTTCTGGCTTCTGGACGGTGAGCGCGCTAAATGGACAAATTTAGAAAATTGTACAAATTTCCTCAAACAATCTCTGCTCGCTCACCCCTTTTTTGCCATCGTGTCCACATAAATCGATCGGAATCCGAGCGGATCTACTTGTAGCGGTACGTAGAGTGTATACGGTGCCCCATCAGCCGCATTTGCCTGGCTAGACGCCGCGAGGACCAGCTGAAATTTTTTAATTTAATTTTGTTTTTAATTCAAGGCCATTAAAGTTTTATTAAAACTTCTATAATTCTTTTAATTATAAGTTTAAATAGGTATTGTACAAAAAAACCCCGAAAAAATGGTAAAATGACGAAGTTCGAGCATTACCTGCGCACCCGTAATGGGTTGCCCAGCGTAGTCGTATACGGCGGCCTGGGTTGCATAGGAGGGGATCTCGACTACCGTATTCGAGGCCTGGCCCAGCGGGTTGAATACGGTAGCCACGTACGAGGCCTTGTTGCTGAAACCGTGGTTTTTAGGTTCTCGTTCTCGATCTCTCTCTCTCTCTTTCTCTGTCGTCTCTCGCTCCCGGAAAGCGCCTCGTGTCGTTGTCTAGACCTAGTCGACAGAGGGTCGATTCGGTTACTTCCAAGTCCCTTTAAACCCACAAAATGGCTGCGCAAGTCGTCTCGTTGGCCTCAAGGCACAGCTGGTGCTTCGGGGCTGTAGTTTGTTGCGTGGCGGACTGGATGGCGTGGGTGGCAAGTGTCTGGAAAATGAAGCTGAGAGAGAGAGAGAGAGAGAGAGAGAGAAGAGAGAGAGAGAGAGAGAGAGAGAGAGAGAGAGAGAGAGAGAGAGAGAGAGGTAGAGATAGATAGGGCGGGTGAGTGAGCGAAACAGAAAGAGAGGGGCGAGCGAGAGAGAGAGGGAGGAGTGAGGAGGGGCAGAGAGAGAGTCAGCAAGAGTGTGAGAGACGGCCAGAGAGTGAGTGAGCGTGAGAGAGGGAGAGTGAGAGAGAAAAAGCGAGAAACAGCGAGAGTGTGTGTGAGAGAGAGAAATAGTGCGAGAGAGCAGGCTAGCAGAGACTCCTTGCAGAACCCAAACCCTACCTCCAACTGGATCATTCCCTTGTGAAGACGTTGCTGATAATCATAAGTGACGACTTGTTTAGCTGTTCCCCTAAAGCTAAATTTTTAGCGAGAGAGAGAGAGAGAGAGAGAGAGAGAGAGAGAGAGCGAGAGAGATAGTGATAGACAGCGAGAGAAAGCGATATTAAAACCTACGTAACAGCATCGTGATGCTGAACCAGTCCGCTGGCCCGTTTGGCCGTCTCCAGCGCCGCGTCATCACCAAGCAGGAAATGGGCCGATAGCTGCTTTCCTAGCTGTAAAAATAGGGTGAAAACCCGGTGGTATGAAGTAACGCTAAAAACCATGAAAAACAGCCCTAAATTATACATTCAATAGTGAGGAGGCCTGGCGGATCATTCCCTTAAAAGCCGGTCTCGAGGTGAAGTAGCCGGTCCAGTAGCTGTTCTGAGCCGAGGCGTAGCTGGAAAAAAATACGTAGCAGAGATTGTTGGAGGAACAACTTACGGGAAGAAGTCGTCGCTTTTGGTGGTGAGCACGGGCTGCGCTTTCTGGACGGCTTTCGTGTAGCATGCCGGCGTAGAGTAGAGCAGGTTCAGTCCCATCGACGGCTAAATGTAAGGGTAGGCAAAAGAGAGAGAGAGAGAGAGAGAGAGAGAGAGAGAGAGAGAGAGAGAGAAGAGAGAGAGGGAGAGAGAGTGAGGGAGAGAGAGAGAAAGAGAGAGAGAGAGAGAGAGAGAGAGAGAGAGAGAGAGAGAGAGAGAGAGAGAGATAGATAAAGAGAAAGGGAGAGAGAGAGGGAGAGAAAGAGATATATAAAAAAAGAGAAATAGAGAGAGAGAGAGAGAGAGAGAGAGAGAGAGAGAGAGAAAGAGATAGAGAAAGTAAGAAAGCGAGAGCGAGAGAAGGGGCGAGAGAGAGAGAGAGAGAGAGAGAGAGAGAGAGAGAGCTACTCACATTAGCATTAAAATACTTGATCAACTTGTCGAGATTCCTGTACCACTTCTCGGCCATCTGATAGTTAAAGTCCATTCCCATGGTGAGGATGACGTTCTTCGTCTTGTAGTGACTGGCCTGAGGTATTAATAAAAGGATGTATCAATTAACATACAGTCCGCGTCATAATGATAGGTTCACCCCATTTTAGGACAGCTTGTTAATCTAGAATAAGTTTCGGATAAAACGGGCGTTGTAATCAGTTAGGGCATAGCTCAAAACCTTTAAGGCCATTATCCATTTGGTTAGAAAAGGCTTCTAGATTTTTAAGGAATTTTATCTCAAAAAAGGCTTACTGGAACCCGCGTCATAAAGATAGGTTCACCCCGAATTTTTCTGCAAAAATCCTACATTCGGATCTTACTTATATTTTCAATTAAGTAGCATTGAAGTGTACATGAATTTCCTATACTTGGTTTGACTCGAAAGGTTTTAGGGAATTTTTTGCAAAAGTCCATTTTAACAAAGAAATCACATTTTTTTAGGATTATCCGGCGATACTCGTTTTAAATTTTTAGTATATAGGCGGTCTCGGAAAGTGCACTTAATGACGAGCATTTTGGTATATAAACGGCTATAGGAACTAAGGTGTTCACGAAGATACAGGTCTAGAAACATGGAACCTACTTGGGCCCATACTAAATGGCCGCCAATCCTCACTTGCGCAGTCCACCCAACTTTCTTCGTGTGTGTCACCCCACTATCGCCGAAGCCAAAGACGTTGTTATATACCAAAATGCTTGTCTTGAGCTGCTCTTTCAAGTCCATAGAAGGAACTTGCGCTTCCGGTTAAATCCAGCCCGTATTGCCACAAAAATAGTAATTTCTTGTTAAAATGGACTTTTGCAAAAAATTCCCTAAAACCTTTCGAGTCAAACCAAGTATAGGAAATTCATGTACACTTCAATGCTACTTAATTGAAAATATAAGTAAAATCCGAATGTAGGATTTTTGCAGAAAAATTCGGGGTGAACCTATCTTTATGACGCGGGTTCCAGTAAGCCTTTTTTGAGATAAAATTCCTTAAAAATCTAGAAGCCTTTTCTAACCAAATGGATAATGGCCTTAAAGGTTTTGAGCTATGCCCTAACTGATTACAACGCCCGTTTTATCCGAAACTTATTCTAGATTAACAAGCTGTCCTAAAATGGGGTGAACCTATCATTATGACGCGGACTGTATTAGAAGTGTTAATCATTCTCCCAACTGTAGATTTATTCAGTAGTAATTGCCAAATTTCTATTAGCTCTAGAATTGAAAAAATGTACCTGTTCAGTGACGTAGCTGAGAAATTGCTGGGCGCGGCGGACGACGTTGTAGCCTGGTTGGTTCGGGTCGTCCTAGATTTAACCAATTTTAAACTCTAGAAAACGTGTAAAAATAATGGTACTGGACTTTTAACAGGGGGGGGGGTAAATATTGCGTTTCGTCGAAAATGTTCAGAAACGGCCAAAAGTTGAAAAATTTCGAATTTCCCAGCGATCAAAACAAACAAAAAACAGCAGAAAAATAGCTAAAATATTACTAACAGGTGGCGAGGCGAAAACTAAAAAAAAATCGCGCCCCAACCCTGATAAAAATTCACAGCCAGTTGCCTTGCCAATCCCTATAAAGTCAACTTTTACCTGAATCTCCTCGTCATTACAGCCGCTGTCAAAGCAGAAGCCACTCGGCGGCGAGTAATCCCAATAAAGCGCCCCCGTCAGCAGCGAGGTCTCTAAAAAAATGGGGTGGATTATGGATAAAAATCAATTAAAAATCGTAAAACTATTTAACAAACTCTTAAACACGTCTAATAAACGAATTTTCGTCGAAAAAAACCGCTTTTTTGGATTTTTAATACAACTTTGTAAATTTTGCGCGTCTAGGAGTAATAATAAATAGCATATAAGCACCTGCTCGATTTATATTAGCTAATTTCCGAACTGCCGAGTAGCGCGCCAACAATGAGATTTTTTTAAGAGTTGACGAAACACTTTTTTTAGTCCGAATTCTTTTTATTTTTTATTTCTGTTTCGTATTTCGTATTTCTATGCCATATCTAAAGCAAAAAAAACTAGCCGACCGCTGTTAAAAATTGGCTAAAAAATTAAAAATTATACGGCAAAATCAGCCGTTTCTCGCCAAAAAAAATCGTTTTTTCGACGTTTTCGAAACAGTCGGACAGTTTTTAGCAAAAACTTTTTACTGTAAAGAATCGTAAAAACCGTTGATAGATACTTTCATATTAGCATCAATGGCGGTTTTTGCCTTTACTTTACTTTTACATTCAAAATGGGCGCAAACAGACTTTTGAAACAAATAGGCTGAGTAACACCTGACTCGAATTGCGCGGCAGGAAAAAAAAGATATTTTTTAAGATGGGACGAAACACCTTTTTTTATTCCCCAATTTTTCGTTCTTTGCCTTATTACTTAATTCTTTTTCAGAATTTATGTTTTCTTTCTTCTTCATACTATTCTCTATGTTCTCTAGCCTACTTTGCTCATCGGACCCAATCCAGTTGAACTCGTTGTTTTTCGTGGAATGGCGGAGGGAGCGGTCGACGTAGTGGATACGCCCGAAATACAGCGACTCGTAGCCCATCTGAATTTCTTAAGGTTTTCCACCTAATTAGCAATTAATGTCTCAATTTCTTTCAAAATGTCGAAATGTCACAATCTGGAAAATCAGATAGCCGAAATCGTTCAAAATCGGCTCGCTGCATGCAGCTTCAACATTAGCTTGCATCAGCTAACTTTCCCGGAAAACCCCCCGGATCCTATACGAAAAAAATTTCGAAATTCTGAATTTCGACATCATAAAATGTCGACATTATGTTTGAAACTCAAAATCTGCCTTAAAATGGGACGTCTAGATCTTTTTATTAGGTACCTGCGCAGCCAAATTAGCGAATTCACGGCTGTGCCCAAATGGGTCGATCTGCCACGCGGCTTTCGGCTGGCTGCAGTTCGGTCCGAACAACACCTTTAGATGCTCGAGTCTGAAAAAGGCGATCCTCGAACAATCCCTGCTAGCCTGCCCTCCACTCGGGTCCGCCATTCCTCCCCACTCTGAGCCTGCCCTCCACTCGGGGTCCGCCATTTCCTCCTCCAATCTCTGAGCCTGCCCTCCACTCGGGGTCCGTCCATTCCTCCTCCCTCTGCTAGCCTGCCCTCCACTCGGGGTCCGCCATTTCCTAAAAATCTCAGCCTGCCCTCCACTCGGGGCCCATCCTCCAATCTGCCTGCCCTCCACTCGGGGCCGTCCATTTCCTCCTCCAACCTCGAGCCTGCCCTCCTCTCGGGTCCTCCATTTCCTCCTCCAATCTCTGCTAGCCTGCCCTCCACTCGGGGTCCGTCCATTTCCTCCTCCAATCTCTGCTAGCCTGCCCTCCTCTCGGGGTCCGTCCATTTCCTCAAACAATCTCTGCTAGCCTGCCCTCCTCTCGGGGTCCGTCCATTTCCTCCTCCAATCTCTGCTAGCCTGCCCTCCACTCGGGGTCCGTCCATTTCCTCAAACAATCTCTGCTAGCCTGCCCTCCTCTCGGGGTCCGTCCATTTCCTCCTCCATCTCTGCTAGCCTGCCCTCCTCTCGGGGTCCGTCCATTTCCTCAAACAATCTCTGCTAGCCTGCCCTCCTCTCGGGGTCCGTCCATTTCCTCCTCCAATCTCTGCTAGCCTGCCCTCCACTCGGGGTCCGTCCATTTCCTCAAACAATCTCTGCTAGCCTGCCCTCCTCTCGGGGTCCGTCCATTTCCTCCTCCAATCTCTGCTAGCCTGCCCTCCTCTCGGGGTCCGTCCATTTCCTCAAACAATCTCTGCTAGCCTGCCCTCCTCTCGGGGTCCGTCCATTTCCTCCTCCAATCTCTGCTAGCCTGCCCTCCACTCGGGGTCCGTCCATTTCCTCAAACAATCTCTGCTAGCCTGCCCTCCTCTCGGGGTCCGTCCATTTCCTCAAACAATCTCTGCTAGCCTGCCCCACTCACCCTAACGTCATCTGGTCGATGATATCCACATAGTGTGCGGCGGCTTCATCATTTTGCACCCATCCGCCGCCGATCAGCTCAATTTGGCCTGTGAGCAATTCACTATAATTCTTCTTTAAACCAAAACGTTACCATTCTGAACGAGTTTTTGCAGGCGGGATACGGTAGTCTGGTTGTGCTCCACCCACCGCATCAAAAAGCCCGTTTCGGCGAAGGAGAACCTACAAAACGAGTTTCGTCTGGGTGAAACACCCACTTTCTGCTCTTGTCCTTTTCCACCTCGGTGATTACGGTGTCGTAGATCTTTTGCACCTCTAAAAACATTGGCTTTGGAGGCGGGCAGGCTAGCAGAGATTTTTGAGGAAACAGTCGCGATCCCGTACCCCGGTCATAATATTGATCGACCGTCATCAACCAGCCCAGATCATCGTGGGTGTGCGTGACGAGGTGGACATTTAGAAGGGATTGGTCGGTGGCCAATGGATTGCATGCCTAAAAATTTTTTTTAGTTGCTAGGGAGCTAGCAGAGATTCTTTGAGGAGATTCGGAAATTTACTTGGCACCGCGGCCCAAATGTCCCAAAATTTCGGTATTTTTGCCAATTGTTTGGGATTTTTAACGTTATTCGATAGAGGGTCGAAAAATATAGTCGGAGCTATGATTACCGCTAAAAATCGTTAAATAAAAAAGGTAGAGCAGACCCAAGAATAATCCTTGAAAATAGAAAGTTATTACAGAAACAAGCGAAATTAGGCTAGCATTTTTCCGGAAAGCTAGCAGAGATTGGAGGAGGAAATGGACGGACCCCGAGAGGAGGGCAGGCTAGCAGGGATGGTGGAGGAAATGGACGGACCCCGAGAGGAGGGCAGGCTAGCAGAGATTGTTTGAGGAAATGGACGGACCCCGAGAGGAGGGCAGGCTAGCAGAGATTGTTTGAGGAAATGGACGGACCCCGAGAGGAGGGCAGGCTACAAGATTGGAGAGGAAATGGACGGACCCCGAGAGGAGGGCAGGCTAGCAGAGATTGTTTGAGGTGGACGCCCCGGGGAGGGCGGCTAGCGGATTGGGTGGACGCCGGGAGCTAGGATTGGGGGGAAATGGACGGACCCCGAGAGGAGGGCAGGCTAGCAGAGATTGGAGGAGGAAATGGACGGACCCCGAGAGGAGGGCAGGCTAGCAGAGATTGTTTGAGGAAATGGACGGACCCCGAGAGGAGGGCAGGCTAGCAGAGATTGGAGGAGGAAATGGACGGACCCCGAGAGGAGGGCAGGCTAGCAGAGATTGTTTGAGGAAATGGACGGACCCCGAGAGGAGGGCAGGCTAGCAGAGATTGGTGGAGGAAATGGTAAAAACCTTTTAAAACCCACATCCCAGCTGCAAACGTCGGCGGCCGCGGTTGCTAACGCGCAAAACAGTAAATACAATCCCCTCATGTTCCGTATCGTAACGGAATGTGGCGCCGGAATACTAGCGATCAACCCGGTGTTCCGGAATTCCGACCTTCGACTTTCCGTTATCTCCTCGTGGCACGAAACGGCTTATCGAACAGTTCGGGGCAACAGCCCTTCGATGGCCAAATGACCATCCCCCCGGCTACTGCTCTTTTATACCAAAGTCCGAAACAAACTTCACTCCGATTGCCACGAAAAAGCTTTAGGTTATGCCAAAAACGGGGGCGCTCGTTATTTCGGTGTAATAAAAATAACTTCACATAAGAAATATCGTCAAATAATGATAAAAACTATAAAAAAGCGCTTAGTATATTTTCGGCCCTCTATCGACTGTCGTTTTGAAAATATAGAAAATACTGAAAATTGAGTTCTCCCTCCTATCGCGTCGTACGGCACCAACAATCGATTTACGCCCGTCGCGTGCCTTTTTACGCCATTTTTCAGGTATCGAAAGGTCACAAAAAATTATTAAAACTTTCTAAAAATTGTGATTTTAGCCAAAAATGGATGGAAAATCGGCCAATTCGAAGCTTTAGAAAAAAATAGCAGACTTTTTCGTGCTCAAAGCCATAAAAATACACTTGAAAAGCAGAACAATTTTTGCTAGATGGGTATAGCCTTCGTAACCGCCTCCCCCCGCTAAAAGACGAGCACCACGTGAAGCTCACAGGGACGCCCTAGCAAAGCGACTGAGGGTACATAAATGGTTGAGAAAGTTAATCTCTAAAACCTATTTTAATTTCAGAATTTCAAAAATAGTGCGAAATCCACGCACTATTTTAAAAGCACTTTATTCTGAACCACCTGCAATGAATCGAGCAAAAGAAATGTCATATTAGAGAGCCCAGCCAAAAAAACAAAGACTAGAATCAAAAAATGAACCCGTACATGCGAAATTAGCAAACAAAAATATACATCAAAATGGGCAAATTGTCGGCACGTTCGATCTGTGGCTTCTCCCTCAAGCGTCGGCGGCCTGCGTCTTCAGCTCTCGCCCTCGTCCCCCGGGCACGTCGGGCTTCGCGCGTTTCCGGTCGTAGTAGCTGTGCTTCTTGTATTCTTTTGCAAACCTAGAAGAGGAAACATTATTTGGAATTAGCGGGGGGGACCATCTTTTTGCCTATAAATCCAGAAATGCCTAGTTACTGTTGTTACTAAAGTTTCACTAGATTTTAGGTAGAAAAACCATCTCAAAAATTGTCATAATATTTTTACATGCCATTTTGGTCGAAAATTGTCTTTTTTTTACGGCTAGGTATAGAAAAAAATAGTTTAGAAACACTGCCTCTATTCATATTAGAAAGTTTCTAAACTTTTTTATTCCTTTGTGTAAAAACTTTACAAAGCGTGATTAAAACGAAAAAGCATAGATTTCAAACTTTCAAACAATTTTACATTTTGAAAAATACGTTTTTAAAGTTTTCTAATTATTTTTCTATTTGAAGTATAGCTAAATATTACTAAAAAGCAATAGAGATAGTTACTATTCCGCTACTAGGCATACCCGGAATCATAGCAAAAAAATTCGGGTCTCTCGAATCACCAAGAACCGCGGAAAAATAAAATAGTAAAGTCTAGCACTGACCGAAACTGCCAATCGGCCACTTTCTCGGCGTGTTGTTGCCATTGGGCGGCATTCGTGTCGTGGATCTTCAGGAACGCGTCGAAGACCATCTAAACCGGAAAATTAAGGCCAAGAATAAATGAGCAACCTGCGGGCTGATCGTCTTCACCGCCACCGGGCCCCACTCGTACAAGATGTCGTCGCCCGGCGCCGGTCCGCTTTGTTTTGCGCTGACGGCTAGGAGGCCTGGAAAGGAATGGTTATGATGGGTAAACACAATCGCTATCATTAAGACATCGTCGTATCGAAATAAAGGAAAAACGCCTTTCGATCCAACTGACCCTCGTTTATCATGGTGTTGATCAGCATCTTGATGTCGCCGAGCACCTCGTCGGGCTCCGTGCTCGAGTAGCCGAGCGTCTCCTAAGAAGAAACATTATTACTTATGAAACTTTCTAGTTTATTCTCGTTTTTCTTTTCGTTTTTTTTCGTTTGTCGTTTAGTCGACGCGCATTCTAAAAAGGTTCCCAAAGCAAAAAAATTCTTGCTTCGGAGCTTTAGAACAAAGATAGAGGATCAACACGCAGGAAGAGGGAACAAGACGATGAAACTCAGCGAAATGATCATAATTGTGATGAACGTATGAGATACAGGACCTCGAAAACTCACAAAGAATTTCCACATCCGCTCCGACGGCACTTTCCCGAATTCCTTGGCGAGCGACGGCGGCCGTTCCATCATCAGAAACACGAGCACGATGAAGCGAAAGCCCTTTTGCGCGTCGGCCTGAATCCAAGGTATAGAACCGAATTTAACAATTACCATTTCCGCGAGATCCTCGACGTTCGGCAGGCCGGGCAGGATATTCGTGAGGTAGAGCGTGCCGTCTTTTTGCACGATCTGAACGAGCATTTCCAAGATCACGAAAACTAAAAAATACCGTATATCCACATGATCGGCGCAGCTTTTCGTTCGTCTTTTTCAGCAGGCATTCCCACGTCACCGAGTCGACCTTGACGAACGAGCGCAGAAGGTTCTCCTGGGAAAAATGGCCGGCGGTTTGGTTCTGGACTCTTAGCGGCGTGGGAGGGATTTTAGCAGGGGGAACCACTTTTTGTTTGCCTACTTTTGAAAATCCGAAAATTTTTACCTTTTTTGGTCATTTCCATACATTTTTGATCAAAAGGTCAACAATTTTCAAAAATGTTATTGTTTTTATCTAAAAAGTACGTAAAAATGCTATAAAACGGTTTATATTAGCGAATTAGAGAACGCCGTAGAGAATCACAGGGAAAAATTTTGTTTCCCCCCAACCCCCGCTAACAGCCCAGAACCGGGGATTTCGCCAATTTCCCAGAAGCAAAAAACTAAACTCCTGCACGAACCTTGACGGCGCTCTTCCCCCCGGGACTCGCGAGCATGTGCTGGGCAATCATCGCCACAAGCTTGCCCATCGTCATCGGCTCGCCGTCGTCGTCCTTGTACAGCTCGAGGTCCTGAAAAAAAACAGAATCAGCAAAAAAATTAGAGTAACCTCATCGTATTTGTCCCGCTTGCCATTGTAGCGCGCTGGAGCCATTGCTGTAATAGAATAGGATCAACATTTCAGCACTTAAAAAGACAATTTTTCGGATTCGGAAGGCATACAAAATCGATTATCGTGCGATCGGGTTCTTTCGCATTAACGGGCGCGGGGGGGCAATTTTTTATTTTAGGCTCGAATTTCTCTAATATAAATAGGAGAAGTGTGCTTAAATGTCTTTAATATGCCCATACGTAAAAATTGGTAATTTTTGCCTAAAAATAAACAAAATGGCCGGTTTTCGACCAAAATTTCGCCTTTTGAAAGGTTTTAAGCAGCTTTTCTAGTATTCTAGCATTTAAGGTATAGCCACATTTTACTACATACACTAAAACCCGTCCTAGACTTTCCTGGGCTTATAGAAAAAAGCCGACCCCGCCGATCATGCGATGGAACCCGCGACCTGACTTGTGATTCGGAAAGCATAAACACAACGATACCAATTAACGAAAGAACGGAGCTCGCTTTTCTTCTTCGGGTATTTGCTTAGACCTTTATTTAGCCGCCAATCTAGATAAAGCACAACCTTCAAAAGAACGAGTATTGAAATTTAGAGAGGAAAAAAGAAGAAACAGCAAGAAATGTAAGCACGTAAATGAGGAGCTAAAAAAAGACAAGATCAGTCGACCCGAATTCACAAAAATTTGAGGGAGCAAAGAAAAGGGGGAGCAAGAAAAAACGTTTACATCTTCTCGAAAGTCTCCGTGTAGCCGCACTCGGCGCATTCACGTTTCCATTCGCCGGCCGCAGCGTCCACCTAAAGAAAAGGAGTTTGATCGCAGCCTGGAATTCACCACCTCAATCTCGTCGCCAAAGGCGTGGATGTGCGCCTTTTTCGTGACGACGATATTCTTGCCGGCACCACGAATCTAAAGTGAAGAGATTAGAAAATTGAGCAGATGGGAACAATCCCAGTTTTCTCCGTAAATTTTTTTAATCATTTTTTTTTTGTAAATGTTTTTGAAAATTTTCCTCCTGCCAACAATCCAGTGCCAAAATCGCTTAGAAACAAGTTTTCCATTTTAGATTTCTAAAAAAGTCGATTCCGCGGGGAAACCCTAAAGAACCCAATCGCGCAGTCCGCACAAATGAACTGCTAACCTGTTTTCGCATATCCTTGAGCTTCTTCTCGAAGTTGCGTTCATTCTTGACGGTGCGCTTGTCCTCGCGCAACTTCTTAGCGTCTTCCAGCCCTTCGTAACTGCCGTGCACCTCAAGCATCCGGTCGATCACCTAAAATAAATTTATTGCCAGGACGCAGCGACCAAACCTGACAGCCCAGGTACAGCTTCATGTCGCCATACCGCGGGTTGTGCGGATTTTTTCGGGCAATGTACCTAGGAAGCGGAAGTTGGCCAAATGTATATAGATTACCTCAAAGCCGGCTTGCGCAGATCCAAGTCCGGCGGCTTGAGCAGGTAGGTGTTTAGTGCATCTGTGCGAGAGATGAGCTTGTGGGCGTCCATGTCGTCTCTGAAGAATGGTCTTCATAATCGCCAGAAAAGCGTACCTGCAGCCATCGCACACCGGATGCCGGAATCTATCCCACAGGAACGACTCGATTATCGGCTTCTGGCACAGTTGGCAATCATCCAATGGGATTGACGGTGCTCGCGCGTCGATTCCTAAAAAAATAAGGATTATACGGGTTGGGGAGGCCACAATTTTGGTATGCGGTTTTTAGGTCATTCTAGGCCGGTTTTTTGCAATTTCGACTAGCGCATAAACGTCGAGATACGCAAAAAAAACGAGCGCAACCTCCACTGTTCGAGACAACTGTTTTCCGAATATCATTATGCGTTCTTCGAACACAGCGCAAAAAACCATGAAGGCCCTAAAAACCAGATGCCAACCAAAGCGTTTAGTGTCAAAAATCAACTCGATGATGCCTAGCATGGTCCTGCCGAATCCAGCCATTGCCTCTGCGAACAAGCTTACTTCTCTGTCGCTTCTGCGCGATCTCTTCCCGTCGTTCGGCCACCTGATCATCATCGTCGCAAAAGCCGCCAGACGCTTCGAATGAGCCGAGGTTTTTTCTGAAAAAAACGAATAATTTACGCATCCCAATGCAAGCAAAAACATTGCCATCTGATAAAGGCGAGAGGAACGAGTGAAACTTGATTTCTGGCAATCTGACAACAATTCCGATAGGCTTACTTATATAGCTGCTCAACAAGCGGCACTTCGGATTTCCTTTTCGACATTTGCCCGTGCGATTTGACGCCTCAAAAGCATTACGTAACTGGGGAGGGGGGTTTCAAGATCCCGCGTCTCCCAACAAACTACACACCGGTGCCGGTCTTTCAACAAGAAGCCAAAAACGGCAGTTAGCAAATAGCACACGTTTCGCACGGGAAGGCTTTCTTGGTAACCGAGTATTCGAGCCGTAAAAAAAAGTAATTCTCTATATACCATGGAACCCAGCCCACTTTACCTTACCGCAAACCCACAGATACCCATGTTTACCATCGCAACCCGTATTTACCCATGGAACCCACGTTTACCCATGGGTACCCATGGGTAAATCTCGGGGGGAGAGAACCCATGGGAACCCATGTTTTACCCATGGGAACCCATGGGTTCCCATGGGTAATAACGTGCATAGTACTGTCACGATCACATCCTACTTTTCAGAAATTACTCCCAAGTTTTCATTATTGGCTAACTTTCCACCGAATAAACTTTTATGCCATAAGAACTGATAAATACTTGGAGTAGGTAAGTTTGCTAAACGTACTATAGGTTTTTAAATACGCTTTGCACAACGATGTTTTCTGATCGATCTAATTTAGACGTAGAGTGCTATCATGTCTTCAAGAAGAAATACGTACTTCACCATCAATAGCGGGTTTTGTAAGTATACCCGTTTCCGTTCGAAATTTCAGGGTACACTACTTGCTACGAAGAATAGGTTGGATGGTGAGTAGGATTCAACTTTTCTTCTTTCTTAGGTACTGAACCTGCATTCGGGCTATGAGTAGCCGGATGTGTTTTAGAGGGGCGTCTACTACAAAGGGCGTGCAAGGACAAAAAACGAAAGTAAGGGTTTTTGAGCCCTTGAGCAGTAAGCGGATCTTTCTAGGTTCTATGCCTAAATCACGCTGCTCTACCGCCCACGAGCTCCAACGATTAACCGTGGTTCATCAAAAAAAGCAGCCCTGAGTATGAAAACGACAAAGCAAAAAGGTGGCATTTTAGTTATTCCGATGCCCCCGCCCGATCTACAGAGGGTCACAACCAGCGTCGGACTGCCAAACAATGCCTTTTGAAGTACACCTATTAGTGAAAGGCAAAGTAAAAGAAAAGAAAGTGTAAACTACAGCCTCCTGTCCCGTAATTTACCATGGGACCACGATCTACCCATGGGGCCCAGAGAAACCCGCGATTTACCCATGGGAACCCATGGGAACCACGTCTTACCCATGGGAACCCATGGGTACCATGGGTACCCAACAAACGGCGATTTAGCCAAGGGAACCCGTTTCCCACGGGAATCGGCTTTACCCATGGGTAAATCGTGGGTTCGAGCCAGGTAAATCATTAGCCGATTAGACGTGTATGGCATGTGCAGATACATTAGAGGACAAAATCCCGGCCCCGGTTTAACTTATGAGCAAGTCTAGCAAATCCTCCAGTGCGAACCGCGCGACATTTGATAATTGCTCAAAAAAACTGTCGTAGGCACTTTCAGCGCAATTCAGCCAGATTCAGAAACCGCGAAGTTATCTGTCGTTCTTGCGCAATCTTTAGCCCGCCAGTTTGCGTTGCGTAACTCATTTCGGGGCGACCACAAGCGGCTTGCAGAACTGTTGAGCAACTCCAAGAAACTTAAATGCTATCACTTTTGTGCAAAATTGGCCGTGGTAAGATCGATACGGATTTTTTCGCATTATCGGAGGGGGGGGGTGAGAGCCTAAAAATGGCTAGTTAACTTAATAAGCAGTATTTCAGTTGGAAATATAACTATATTTACCATATAAAAACTACCTTACAACCTCAAAAAAGTCGAAATGTTGGAAATAAAACGGTTTTGTATTTTTTGAAATTTGTAAATTTTACGTTTAGGAACAGTAAGAGAAAGGGTTTAGAATTAGTTCCGCCTTTATATTTCAAAAATGATCCTGATCATCTTCTCTTTCTATTCTTTTCGTTCTTCATTTTCGTGCTTCTGAACTTTGGCCATTTTCAGCGCATGAAATCGCATGCCGAGCCCTCAACTCTCGAACCTCCCGCGCCTCACGCTGTGCCAAAATGGGCATGATGTTTATAGCGGTAAGAAATTCAGCATTTTTCAAGTGATTACAGTTTTAGCGCACGGGACGACCATCGAAAAGTTCGAGCTGAGGGATGGGCGGCTTCACCTTTTGGACGCGCACCTCGTTGAGACGCCGGGCACCGGAGAAATTGGGCAACTCGTAGTGTGTAGAACCCACGAAAATGAAGGTAAATTTTTTGCGAAAAAAGGTTATTCGCATTATCGGGGACTTGGTGTTATTTCCTATACGTCTAGAAATGCTTAGTAAGTAATAGGAAGTATTTTAATCATGTTTTTAAGGAAATAAAGTTGACTTCTACTGGAAAAACTTTCAAAAAGTCGGAATCCTGGTCGAAAAATCTATTGTTTTGTAGGTTTTAATAAAAATTTGTAAGTTTGTACGTTTTGGAATAGTAAAAAAAGTTTTGAAACACCTCCGCACATTATAAAATTGGATCCTAGAAAAAAACCTCTCCCCGATAGCTCGAGAACCAAATTTTTGAATAGAATAACGTTTTTAGGTTGCCCACACTTCACGAGCCGGAACTACTATTGCCAAGTTGGGCCCGAAGCGAACTCGCCGCCGAAGAGCCAGAAGTTCGGCACACGCATCGCTCACTTGCGAGTTTTTGCCGACGGGGTAGCTTTATTTGAATTTAGCTAGATTCTATCCTTTTTAGACCCGTCTCTTCGTCTTTATGGATGGCTCCGCCGAATTATGGCGTGACGACGAGAGACTGGACGCGATAGAGCCTCCAAAAAATGCGCAAATGTTTGTCAGAATCTTGGTTTTTCAAATTTCCTTTAGAATGGGCGCGACGTCGACCAGGGATGACTTTGAGAACTGCACACTGCTGATGTACACGTATCTCGGGTCGATGATACGCTGGCGACCGGCCCGTCAAGCCCCGGCTTTTCAGTACGACGGAAGTGCGGTACGCTAAAGCAGGAAATTGACATCGTTTTTCTAGGGTATGACGTTCGAGGCGGTAATTCTGGGCCAGTACGTCTTCTCGGTGCACGACGATCGCTCGCTACGGGTCTGGGACCTAGAGGTACAGCTAATACTAAATAAAAACTATGTAAAATGTTTCTTTTCTTGGGCTATAGGCGTGAAATTCCTTTCTTTAAAGTTGGGTGGCCCGAACAGCGCTAAAAAAGCCTTGCGCGATCTGTTTGCTTATAACACCAGTTTTCTGGGCGAGTTTTTTTTTGCGCTGGTTTTGAATTTCAAAATTTCAGACTGAAAGAAGAACAACTTTCGACTGCAAACTACTATAAGTCGGCGCCATAAACGTTCCGCGTATTTGGCCCATTTGGTTTTTTGAGTTTGTAAACCAAGGTTTCTAATGCCTAATGTTTGTGCTCGCGTCCTCTAACAGTGATTCTAAAAGCGTTATTCATAGTATGTTTTATATTTTTGCTCAAATTCAAAGTCAAATTACAAAACTAGCACAAAAAACTCGTTTAAAGGCTGATCAGGCTTAAATACCTCCCAAAATTCTGCGTTTTTGCGAATTATATCGTTGCAATTTGTATCATTTTCAGGGCGATTCGGCGGCTTCGATTGCACACGAATTCGGGCACAGCGCAAGGTGGAGATCTTGAATTCGCGAATATACTCCTCATTTTAGGCCCTTCTCGGTATGCATCGACGAGGCCGGCTCTATGATATTTACGGGCGGGAATGATCAGGTAAAACGTGATTTTGCTTCCCTGAAAAACTCGTTTTGTTTTAGAAAATTCTGCGTTGGCACTGGGAGGCAGAGGTCGGGAAGCTGTCCCTGGTCGGCCAAGTTCAAATGACGATCGGCTCGATGCGGAAAATGATTTATGCCGACGATTGCCTGGTGGGTGGGATCGGCTTTTTGCTGAAGCTTCGCGTGTCCAGTCCAAATAATCACCGTTTTTCAGGTTGTTTGTTCGGATGCCGGCGCGCTCGCATCGATCCCGGTGGCAGCTTTTGATGTGCCATTTTCGACACCTGCCCCGCTGGTAATCGCGATCGCGGGAAAAAACGCTGTATATTTTTCAGGCTCTGCAAGTGCGCGACACGAGGATATATGGTGATCAACCGTATTTTATTGACCAGACAGGGTAAGCTTCATTGAAATGCTTGCATTGAGCGAGTTGCTTCCAAAATGCCGCAAAGCATAATTTGGAAATTCATGATGTCGAAATTTCAGAATTTCGAGTTTTGTATAAGCTAATTTTCTCGGAAAACCCCCAAATCCTATGCGAAAAGATGTCGACATTATGAAACATCGGAATTCTGAAATTTCGACATTATCAAATTTGGACTTTATGAATTTTAACACTATAATTTTCGACAGTATGCTAGCAAATCGAATTAACCTAGTTTTTAGGAAGCTCAACCGAGGCGGAATTTCTGACGTGAAAGCCATCACCGACGGCTCGGTGAAGGTCCGCTATTTCTGCTCGTTCTCCGGCTGGAATTTCGGCGGCCAAGCAGTCGCATACGCCTGGTCCGAGCGCGCCATTTATGATATAGGTATTGTGGGAAAAGTATGCTTTAGAAGCGCAAATCCTTGAACAGTCAATAGTATTACTTTTTTGCCAATTTTTGCTTATAAGTTTAGAAACGCAAACGCAAGTAAAAATGTCGATTTTTTTTCTTTTGTAAATTACATTTTTTTAGCTAAAAAGCTGCCATTATATTTTGGACTTTTTCGGGCTAAAACGACGAGATATTTCTAGGGTTTAGACGTTATTTACAGTATGGTTAAAAAGTTGTAGGAATTGTTGAACGTAAAGCCCCGCAGCATCCAACCATGCCGGAAATCAATTCTTTTCCTAGATTCCTCGCAGTACGGCGAATTCCCCGATTTCTCCATCGTCTCCGTGGTCACGGATCGCCATTTCTGGGTCGTTGCGACGAGCACAGACGTCTTTGTGAGTCGAAACAGTCGCTTGGAAATTGCTTTGCTTTTAGGCCCTCACCCCACATGGCAAGGATCTTCGCGCGGCTATCAACTTCAACGTCCGTCCGCTACGCGAGAAGATAGGCCGGAAGACGCCGTTCATCGTGAATTGCATCTCCACGTTGCGAAGAGACGAAGCTGGTTGCTCTGTTCTTGTTGGTTGGTTTTTGAAGCTCGGTTCTTGCGCATTATCGGGGGGGGGGGTAACTTTTTTCTTAGGATGTAATTTTTAAATATAAAATAGTGGAAGTATTGCTAAACTGCCTTAGCTATCCCTAAATACGAAAAATATAGATTTTTATACCAAAAATTACCGATTTTTGACTTTTTTAAAGTTTTTAGATAGAGTTCCTAGTTAAAATAGAGCTATATACTAGTAAAAACACTATTAAAACACTTCCTATTAAGTTATCAGACATTTCAAGAGTTAGGCAAACCTAAAAAAAAGAAATCTCTAAGAAAACAGACAATTTAGGCTGCTCTTCGGGTCATCTAATCTACCTGCACTTCGATTCTGACGGCGTGGTGAAGCCGTGCGAATTGTTAGAGGTACGACGCTGCTGTTTTCTATCATATTTTTCTAGGAGGGCAGACTCTTTGCCGGGGAAGCCATCCAGGACATTTCCGCGGATGGGGAGTACGTTTCGATATTGGGCAAATGCGGGTACCTCTTCCAATGGTGCTGGCAGGTTGATGGAGGTGATTTACCACTTTTCTAGGCGTTTTATAAAATTTTTTTAGATAGGTTGGCGCTCGAGCTTTTGCGGAAAAAGACGGTGGGAATGGATTGGCCGTGTCGTTTCCTGTTTGACGAGGATCGCGAGTTCTTTTTCGGGTTTAGCTCGGTGAGATGGTGTTTCTAAATTTTAGGATAGCGGTTTTGTATAGCATTTTTCGCTGTTTTCAACCAGTAAACTTCTAAATAAAGGGTGGTACTTTAGGATTAGCGGGGGGGGGGGACCAATTTTTTTTTCCTGGTGGTCCCAGTTGGCCTATTAATCCGATATAAGGTTTTTTCATTGATTTTAGTACATTTTTAACCATATTTATAGCCGCCTTTCAAAAAAGTTGGACAAGTGTTTGAAAAGTCGACAATTTGGTCGTTTTGGGTTCAAAAAATAAATTTTTCGACGTAAAAGTGATTGTTTAATCAAAAATTTGTAACTTCTTTATGCTTAGGAACAGTCAAAAACGATGTAGAAACGTATCCGCTAGTTATAAGAAAAATTTAGGCTGGGGGTTTGGAAAAAAAGTGGGTTGCCCTTGGGGTTTAGACTAAAAATAAAATGAATGCTTCCTCTGGAGCGGAAATAGTTGATTGGCTTATAGCAATTATTTCAGACATCAGCCGTGCTGTACGACCGAAAGGACGAACAAATCGTGTGGCGAATGGAGTGCGGTGGCGGCAATCGCCACTGGGATGCGCGGGTATCTGATCGGCGTCTCAGCTTCCACTTTGTCCGCGATGGGGTCAGTTCGTTCCGACAATTTGCTTTGAAGATTTCAATTTTCAGCGCCTACACATTGTCGATTCGCCGTTGTCGTTGCCCGATTTCTACGCAAAGCCGTTGCATATTGGGAAGGCAAGGAACGGAGCAGTTTCCCGAAACTTTTTTCCAGATTGTCAACATGTTGACCGTCTGCCACAAGAAGCGCCTCTTCCTCTTCTCCACCGGGGCCGACAACTTTCTGTGTCTTAGCCGTTTGTCAGATGGTAATTTTCGACAAGCCATTTTTTAGAGTGGTTTTAGATTTGTCGAAAAACACGGTGCTCCATCGACTTTTCGAGGCGGACGGGTTTGCCAGTCTGTCGGTGATTAGGTGGGGTTTAACTTTCTAAACACCAAAAATTGTCGGTTCTGGACTGTTGGGGGGGGGTAGAAATTTTTGTTTTTCCACCGATCCCCTATCTTTGATGATATATGAGTATTTTAGTGGCTTTTGATTGCTAGGGTGTTATAAGAAAATTTGAATTCGAAAATGTTGGTCTTTTTGGTCTTTTTTCATTCAATTTTGACCAAAAAATCCACAATTTTCGAATTTTCGTATTTTTTTGTATTCTTTTTACACCGAAAAACTTTGTAAAATGCTAAAAAAGGTTTATATTTTCTATAGGGCCGTAGAGAATCACAGGCAAAAATTTGGTTTGCGCTAAAATCCCCCCCGCTAACAGTCCAGCACCGAATTGTCAATTTAGCTCAGCAACCCCCGGCGTCTACCACGTTTGCTGCGGGCTCTCCAAGGGAAATGTGGCGATTTATGAAGCGGATTTGAGGGCGGAAAGTGATCAGCGTGGTCCGTTTCTATTTGAGCGTTTTGAAGAGCCGCTTTTTAGGGCTAAAGTCGTTCCGGAAGATCCGGTCACTTTCCACCAATGATCACAAAGCGGCTGGTCGGCTGCAGGTTGTGCCATTTTATCAGCCCGCCAATAATTCCGCTTTTTTAGGTGATTTTTGCCGGTTCGACAGATGCGATTGTGATTGCCGACGACGCATCCGACGAAGCGTTGTAAGTCCAGTTTTCATTGAAATGATAAATAATTAAATTCAGCATTTACGACGTCAAATGCGGGCACAGGCTTGATGGGATTCGCTCCGGGGATCGGGCCGGATTCTCGAAGGTTGGTGGGGATGGTCGAAACGCGGGGCAGGGAAGGAAAAAAAAGCGGGTTCTTTAGCATTATCGGGGGGGGTTCTGTCGCATTATGAGTCTTTTTCCAATATCGGGGGGAGGGCAAAGTTTATCCTATGATACCGGAAATGCTTATTAGGTTCTTTCGCATTATCCAGGGGGGATTTTTTTGTATAAATCTATAAATGTTTAGTAACTTAATAGCAGGTGTTTCAAAAAGTGTTTTTTAGTGACAAATAACCATATATTTAAACTGGAAAACCTATCTAAAAAAGTTTGGAAAATGTCGAAATTTTGGTCAAAGTAGGCCAAGGCCTAAGAATTTTATTTCTAGTTCAACGCACAATTTCAGAAAGTTAGGAAAACAGCGAAAACAACTTGAAAAGTTGAGTTTCTAAGCTATTTTTCGATACTTTTCGACATTCAACGCTATTCGATAGAGCAGCAAAAAAATATACTCAAAGTGTATATACAACTCAAAATATTGTAATTTAAGGAGATAGAAAGATATTTAAGTTATTGACAAAAAATGTTTCCCCCCCCCCCCGTTAACACACCAGCACCATCGGGAAATTCGAATACTCATACCCTGTCGAGCTTGTCGATATTTCAGGTCCACTACGGCGTCTCAAAGCTGATCGGCGCGTCAACGAATGGGCGACTGTACGCGAGTGAGCGCGGCGAGATGACGAGCTTTGAGGTGATTTGCCGAAATTTTCAATTTTAATTTTTTTCCAGGTTTCGACATGCGGGCTCTCCGCGCTGGCAGGGGAGCGGCGGCGCGTATCTGGCGCTCGGCGATGAGGCTGGTGCGTTTCAGACGATTTTAACCTGAATTTTTGCACCATTTAGGTGCCATCTCGATCTGGGATGGAGGACAGGCGCGGGCCGTCAAAATGGAATATCTACAGGCGGGCACTATTACAGGTGTGTGCTTTTTGGGGTTCTTTTGCATTATCGGGGGGGGGGAAGTACTCTCCCTAATCCCGAACGTAAAACTTTACAAAATTTTATTAAAAAAATACAAAAAATATGGATTTTTCGGGCAAAAGTGTGGATTTTCAACAAAATTTCGATTTTTTTAAATTTTTTCAAGGCTTTTGGATAGTTTTTCTAGTTAAATTTTGGTTTTATTGGGGGTGGAAACATTGCGCAAACACTTTCTGCTAAGTTACTAGGCATTCTGGATTAATACAGGAAAAACCTCCCCCGATAATGCGCAAGCACCAGGAATTTGGTATTTCCAGGCATTGCCGTCGATGCGGCGCGTGACGTCAAAAACGGAACACTGCACGTCTACTCGGTGGCGTTGGATTGCCGGGTGGCGGTGACGGTATATTCGAATGGAGAGGTGCGTTCAAGTTTTGGCGTTGTAAATTCACCCTTGTTCAGCTCCGCCGCGTCACCACCCGCCAAACGCAAGTGCAAGACCCGGCCGGGATTGAGCTGGTTCGTGTCGATGGAAATAGGTATCTAAATGCTTTTAATAGATTGGATCCAGGGTGTCTCAAAAAATAGACCCCCTCTAGCGGTCCAGAGGAGTGTCAGAATACGGTTCTGGACTGTTCGCGTGGGGGGGGGGGGGATTTTAAGCCGAAAAAAACTATCTGGCTTTCCACCTATGGCTCCCGCTGATGATATATTATTTATTTTTATAGTGTTTTTAGTAGTTTTTTATTGCTACAAACTTGTAAAATTTTTTTAATAATTTTGAAAATCCGATATTTTTCGTCATTTCACAGACATTTTTGACCAAAAAGTTGACAATTTTTATTATTTTTTAATGTTTTTACATTTTCACGTGCAAAACAATCAAAATACCAACATGGAAAAGCATCTATTAGTGGAAACTTTGGTCAAAATCGGTCAGTTTTTGTCGAAACATGCTATATTTTTGTACTTTTTTAGTAAATATTTGTAAAGTTTTCACCTTTGGGAATAGTCAAAGCAGTTTAGAAGTACTTCCGCTATTTATATGGACAGATTAGATCCTGGAAAAAATTGGCCTGCCCATTTCACCAAGCGGGATGACCGAAAAGGCGATAAAAACGAATAATATATTTTTTAAAAGGCACCACGAGTTTTTTCGAAAAAGTTTAATTTTTGCATAAAAAGACCGGAAATTGAGAAAAATTTGGAATTTCAAAAATCGGAAAAATGATTTATTTACCGCACCGAGAGCTTTAAATCGACGCCTAAATATTAAAAATCGGACACTTCTCCGGGCCGATAGGGAGGGGTTTTTTTGGGACACCCTCGAGAAACACCATTTCAGCGCTGTCGTCCTCGTCTACGGGTCCGGATTCGAATTTTTGACCTTTCACCTTTGATGGTTTTGATTGTTCTAGTCGCTGATTTGATTTTTGAATGTTGCTTTTCTCGCTGATTATTGTCCATTTTCTCTTTTTGTTGCTCGGGTGAAGAGTTGTTGTTGATATTATTCTTGTTCTTCCATTTTGTTATTGCCTTTTTTTCTAGTCTAATAAATTTATTGAAATGGGCCTGTTGTCAAGATAGAAAGTTACGGAAAAAGACCAATCGCGAATTTTGGAGGTCGTATAAATGGCATATTTTATTGCATTTTATTATTTATTTTAAATGGTATGAATGTGGATGTGACGTTTTTAGGTTTGGTATAACGATAAATTAAGAAAGAAGCTGCAGCAATGCCTTTTGCGGAGCCGCCGCCGACCGTGGACGTTTTGAGTGAGTCTAAAAGTGTCAACGCGCTTATCTAGGTTTTTATTATTCCCAAACGTAAAAAATTTACAATTTTTGCTTTAAAAATGCCATAAATAGCTTTTTACAACAAAATTTCACCAATTTTTGTTTTGTGCTTTTTTCGGTTTAAAATTAGTGAAGTTTGGTTCTTTCGCATTTTCGGGGTGGGGGGGGGGGGGTTAGCCTTTTTCTAAGGATCCAGTTTTTCGGATATAAGCAAGTGTAATGTTTATAAACGGTTTTTACTAGGTTTTTATTTTTACTTTTTACTACTTTTCCGTTCTAGAAACTAAAAAGTTTGTCTGTAAAAAATACCTTAAGTAACATTTTCGATCAAAACTAGCAGAATCGGAAATTTTTATATGTTATGGTTGATCTTCTGCCGGTTTTACGTTGCCGAATAGTAAAAAGGGGGCGAAATCCTTCCTCTATTTTTATATTAGAAAAATTCGGTTCCTCTGGAAAAAACCAAAGAAACATAATTGCTTTTCAGTGTTCCGCCACCCGATTCTGCGGTATGTCCGGCCGTTGCGGACGTTGGTCGGCCTCGTGACGATGGTTTTGGTACGTTAATTACAGTATGCAAAAACCACTATTTTACAAAAGCGCCCAGCCGAAAACTTTTATAAAAATTGAACCTGAGCATGCTTGATGCTTATTGGACTAAACAATCAAAGGTGAAATACCAAATTGCAGGTGTTTACGTGCGGGATCAACAGCCTGATCGGCGTCACCTCGGCCCCAATCGGGGTGTACCTGTTGCTGATCGGGACGCCGGTGTTTCTCCTCGAGTTCGGGCCGGCCATCACTACCGTGTGCGGGTAGGTGAATTCAGGGTTTCCTCTAAGTCCAGAAATGTCTTGAAACCTAAAATCAAGCATTTTAATAGTTTTTGTTAAATTTAACCATATTTTAAGTCGGAAAAGTAAAAAAACTTCGAAAAAAGCTTTTATAGTTAAAATTTTTGATTGAAAATCGATATTTTCTTTATTTTTATGCAATTTTGTATCGTTTAAAGTTTAGGAATAGTAAAAAACAATTTAGAAACCCTTCCTCGATTTATATTAGAAGAATTACAAGCTCTTTTCAAGGAGATTTCAAGAAAGATTTCTTTTCAAGACATATTTTTTCAGAAACAACGGATGCTGCTGTCGGACGTTCGGCTTCGTGCTCGGCTTCGATAAGAAGCGCCGTGGTGTACTGTATATTCTGATGGCCATCCCGCTGTTTTTGGGCTTTTGGTCGAACAATTACAGTATCGTAGCCGGTGGGTGTCATTTAGAATTGGGATAAGCTTGGGATTAGGGTTAGGCTTAGGCTTAGGTTTGAGACTTGGGCCTAGGCTTAAGTTTCGTCCCAGGCTTGGCTTCGGCTTGGCAAAGGCTTTGGGATAGGCTTAGGCTTGGCCATAAGCTTAGCTTAGGCTCAGGCTCGGTTTTGGGCTTTGGGTTTAGGCTTACCTTAGCCTAAGCTTAGGCTTAATCCTCGCATGGGCTTGATTGAACTTAGGCTTAGGCTTGGGCTTAGACCTAGCTTATGCTTACTCTTGGGCTTTAGCTTGGACTTACGTCTAGCGCACGTAGGCTTAGGTTTTAGGCGTAGACTTAGGCTTAGGCTTAGGCTCAGGCTTGACTTGCATGGCTTAGGCTTAGGCTCTGGCTTAGGCGTAGGCTTAAGTTTGGTCCCAGGCTTAGGCTAAGGGTTTATTAAACTTCGGCTTAGGTTTGGGCTTAGGCTTAGGCTAAGGCATAGGCATCGGGATAAGCTTAGCTGAGGCTGAGGCTCAAGCTTATTTTCAGGCTCAGGCTCTTTTTCCAGGCGTGCTGCTGACATTTTGCGGCCTACTATATTTCGTGAAGGGCTGGGAGCAGCGGGTCGTCAAAATGCTGACCGGTCTCGGCCCGGCCGACGCGACGATACCCGTACGCAACGCGTCACCACCGCTTCCGCCCGCCGTGGACATTCCGGTGAATCCATTGGCACCTGTATAGAATTGCCTTTAAAAATGTTGTATTGACACTACTCCCATACTTCATAATACTTTAATTTAATGTATTTATGCCTTTTTGAGTGTAATTTTAAGCTGTGCGTTTTGCTGCGGGCTACTGCTTTGAGCCCTGTGGTATTCATTACTTGTATTTATTTTACTCGCAGCATTTGGATGTAATAAAAGTACCAAAATCTGTAGGATTAAATGACAGCTAGCAGAGATTGTTTGAGGAAATGGACGGACCCCGAGAGGAGGGCAGGCTAGCAGAGATTGGAGGAGGAAATGGACGGACCCCGAGAGGAGGGCAGGCTAGCAGAGATTGTTTGAGGAAATGGACGGACCCCGAGAGGAGGGCAGGCTAGCAGAGATTGGAGGAGGAAATGGACGGACCCCGAGAGGAGGGCAGGCTAGCAGTGATTGGAGGAGGAAATGGACGGACCCCGAGAGGAGGGCAGGCTAGCAGAGATTGGAGGAGGAAATGGACGGACCCCGAGAGGAGGGCAGGCTAGCAGAGATTGGAGGAGGAAATGGACGGACCCCGAGAGGAGGGCAGGCTAGCAGAGATTGGAGGAGGAAATGGACGGACCCCGAGAGGAGGGCAGGCTAGCAGAGATTGGAGGAGGAAATGGACGGTCCCCGAGAGGAGGGCAGGCTAGCAGAGGTTCTTTGTTGCGATTTTGCACAGTTTTTCAGTACATTTTATTCCACAAAATTCTTTTCACACTGGAAATTCCGCGAAAAAAAGGAATAAATAAGAGCCACACACCAAGATAATAAAAATCGAGTGGGGAAACGTCGCATCTGACCGAACCAGGCGTATCGCTAAGGCTATAGTGAAATAAGGAGAGAGAGAGAGAGAGAGAGAGAGAGAGAGAGAGAAATTTACCGAAAAATTCTTACGTTTTCCTATAAAAATCAAGTGTTCCTTTGCATTACCAGCTTTACCTGTACATTCAGGGCATCACTTAAACCGACGGGGGAAGAAAATGACAATTACAAGTGCGCAAAATTGTAGAAATTAATGTTACAAATATAAGCCCAAAAAAGTCAAAAAAATTGCATTTCGGTGGCTTTGGCTACGGTAGGGGGTACTGTAATGTAATCACAAGTTATCATGGCGCGCTACATATCGTAGAAATCTCCAAAAAAGATAAACGTGGGGGTGAGGGTACAAAAATGGATCCGTACGCGACGCTACGCTATGTACAGACGGCGAAAAGAGGGGGCGCGGAATGGGAAACGGCGTTTTTCAAAATCTGGATTAATTAGAAAAATTAATTTCTGCACGAAATCAAATTTTTTATTTTTCGTTTGGTTTTGAGGTTTGATAAAATTAAATTCGACTAAAAATTGTTTTTTAATTTTTTAAAGAACAACAGATTTTTAAAAGCTTTACGAGAAAATTGAGTGTTTTATCGAAATATTTATGTTAGATAAAACTGAAGGATTCAGTTTTAGGATCCTAATTTTGTGAAGTTAAAAAAATCGCATTTTACATATTTTTTTGACCCTTTTCATCCAGATTTAAATGCCGTTTCCGGAGCTCCGCGCCCATACAAAAAAATGGGCTGGAATGGTCATGGGGGGTGGAAAATGCATCAGCTTACTGTATCGGAAAGCCCACCAAAATATGCGGGTTTTTTAAAGGGCCCGGCAAGGCAAGGCTATGAATTTTTGGCTGTGGATTCGGCCAGATTTTGACGCGGCAGCGGTAGGCGACGTGCGCGGCTCGGACGTCTTTCCAGCGCGTAACGGGTTACGCCGCGTTTAAGCGGCTGAGCGGCGTGCGCGTTGCGTATCGCGGCGCGGAAAATATACCAAAAAATTCAGATACATGCCTTGCCTGGCCCTTTAAAGGGATGGTGCCAGGTAGGGGAGAAAGGGGCGTGGCTTCAAGTGATTTTTTTACATGCGGAAGCCGTAGGCCTCGACAAATTGGATGATAAAGTCCTCCTTGTCCCCCGTTAGCGGCTCGTTGTCGAACGTCTCGCACTTCTGGGACCGGCCGTGGTTGAGGTCGGCGTCGAGCCAAAGTCTGAAAGTGTTAATATAATTCTTTATACAATATATAAAACCTTCTTGAATAGGTTCTTTTGCATTATCGGGGGGGGGGGCTTTTTAACTTTTTCTAAGGATCCATTATTTCTGGTGTAAATAGAGGAAGAGTTGTTAAACTTTTTTGGCTATTTCTAAGCAGAAAAACTTTACAATTTTGATTAAAATAAAAATATAGATTTTTCGCCCCAAAATTGAGAATTTTCGACCAAAATTACATAAAATGTTTTTTGTTTTTTATCGTTTTTCCACTTGAAACATGGTAACAATTTGGCAAAAAAATACTATAAAGCACTTTTACGTTATTAGGCATTTCTGGACTTATAGAATAATCAATTCTTGTTAAAAAAACAAAAATTTAAGCTTTGGAAAAATTGTCGGTTTCTGAGAAAATTTTGGATTTTTAAGCAGTTTTAAAGTTGCATAGATAGGCTTTTTTCTTGAAACATACTTATTTTGCACTAAAAATATTAAAATCCCTGCTATTACCGTACCCCTGGTGGCCTCCGCCGGCTCCTATCGACAGGCTTTCGCGGGTGGCGTTGGTGAAGTACTGGTTGTCGCCCGTCCAAGTGTAGTGTCGAAGTTCCCTGAAATGCCTGATATGTATATAATAAGCATCCATATAAATCCTTATTTTTAATTTGACGCGAAACATATTTTTAAACATTGTAAAAATAATTTTTGCAAGCAAACATTAGTAAATTGACTCAAATTACACGATAACAATTTCATTAATTTCCCGCATACATTTTTATTTCTATTTTTGCTCGAAACATTTTTTTTTTGGAAATTTGGACAAATTTTTCCTATACAATCTAGTATAGCCTCTGATATTATGTCAATTCTTATAATAATATAAGCCTGTCTAGAAATTTATTAATTTTTATTTCACTCAAAACATATTTCTACAATTTTGCTAAAATGTTTCTAAATTTAGTTCTGACACTTTTAACACTTTCGCGCTCGCGGCCATTTTATAGAGATCGGTGAAAAATGGCTTTTTCGAGGAATTGGATCGTATATTTCTGTCTGTCTTTGTGGGTCTATTCTCGTAGTCGTGTCTGTCGCCGTTAATTGGGTGCAGGCGAAAATGGAGACCCGGATGGCCCATTCGAGAGAGAGACCAGCCAATTTGAGCCAAGCGGGGGGGCCACAGATTTGCGCGTGTCATGGACGCTGTGCTCCTACGAACACGCTGCGGTAGTTGAGCCAATTTTGGAGGACGCCTACGCGCGGCGAGAGAGTGAGAGAGCGAGAGAGACAGAGATAGAGAGAGAGTGAGAGATCGAGAGAACGCGAGAGAGAGAGAGCGAGCGAGAGAGAGAGGGAGAGAGTGAGCGAGCCCGAGAGCGAGAAACAGAGATAGAGAGCGAGAGAGAGTGAGAGTGAGGGAGAGACATAACGAGAGGGAGTGAGGGAGAGCGAGAGAGAGTGAGAGAGTGTGTGAGAGAGAATTTACCTTGTATGGGGCACTTCTCCGGTAAACCTCCACAGCAAGCAAGAGTCCCCGGTACCGGAATAGCCCTCTTGTGGTCGGATCGCTGAAATTGAAGAGATAACCTAGGTTTTAAAAATAGTAAATTTAGGATCAAGAGCTATTAAAAACATTCTTAGGATAAAAATACCGTAGCTTATTACCGTAACGACACACAAAAATGCAAAAAATCAGCATGTTTTTTGTATAAAAAAATGTTTCACGGATTTTAAGGACCAAAATTACCGAATAACCAGCTGCTCGAACAGGAAAATCCAATTTTTAAACCCCAAGAAAATACCTCAAGCCAAAAATCACATTCAAAAATTTCCGGAGAATTTCTTTATAAAAGAAATGTTTCAATAATTCCACCAAACCCAGAAAATTTGGATGAAGGAATTATCATTCGCACAGAGCGCCATTAAAAACATTTAAATTTCCCGAACAAAATTCGCAAACTTTGATAAAACCTACGCGACGATACGATTGCGCCGAAGACATGCTCGTTGATGTCGCGGATGATGAGCAGCACCGGCGACATGTCCTCGTCGAATTCGGCCATTTTTCTGTAACCAGATGGATTAAATAATTTTTTAAGCCCACTTTAGTACACGCAAAGCTCTTCCAAATACACCCAATTTTGATAGTATCTTTATTGCATTTTCGTGGCAACTATTCTGTTTCAAAAAACTTAGATTTTTGTAGAAAAATTCGTATGTTGCGTATAATAAAATAGTCAAGTAGATTATTGTTTTATCAATCCTGGGATTTTGTCTGTCTTGCTATCGAACACCTACAGCCTCCTTTCTTCCCGTCGAATCTTTCGAAAATTCAATTTTCAACCCTCAACTCGACACGCCGAAAAAGGGAAAGGGAAGTAGGCTGAATGCGATTTTATGCAGGGAAAAGGGTGCTGGGTGGTCACTGCAAATTCCTCAAACAATCTCTGCTAGCCTGCCATCCTCACGGGGTCCGTCCATTTCCTCAAACAATCTCTGCTAGCCTGCCCTCCTCTCGGGGTCCGTCCATTTCCTCAAACAATCTCTGCTAGCCTGCCCTCCTCTCGGGGTCCGTCCATTTCCTCAAACAATCTCTGCTAGCCTGCCCTCCTCTCGGGGTCCGTCCATTTCCTCAAACAATCTCTGCTAGCCTGCCCTCCTCTCGGGGTCCGTCCATTTCCTCAAACAATCTCTGCTAGCCTGCCCTCCTCTCGGGGTCCGTCCATTCCTCAAACATTTGCTGCTAGTTCGTTGTCGAAAAGATGGTTCACTGGCAAGGAAAGAAATTCATGTTTTCAATTTTTTTTGAAACCCATTTTTTCGCTTATAGGTTTTGGGTAAAGTTCTGACGTTACAATTCTCGAAGCGTTCACCCAAAAAACATCTTTTTCGTCGTGTGCAAAATGGGGGTGGCGGCGAACTTTTAGGGCCCAAAAACCGCTCGTTAGCCGGGTGGACCGGCCGGGGTTGGCGACCCCCAAAGAAAGGATCAACTTTTGACACGCACACGCGCATCCGGCAATCCGAGAAGCCGCCCGGCTTGCAGTAATCGGTGTAATTTTTGATCTTTGGGATTTTTAATACGCTTAGATACCTAAGGGCACCTTAGCCAAACATCGTATTCTCTCACCTGTACAATGTGGCGAGGCTGAAGCCGTGCTTCTCCGAGTTGTAGATGTTCACCCAGGGGTAGCCCTCGGCGCGGGCGGGCAGGATTTCCATCACCTGGAAAATCAATTTGAGGGCAGGCTAGCAGAGGATTGTTTGAGGAAATGGACGGACCCCGAGAGGAGGGCAGGCTAGCAGAGATTGTTGGAGGAAATGGACGGACCCCGAGAGGAGGGCAGGCTAGCAGAGATTGTTTGAGGAAATGGACGGACCCCGAGAGGAGGGCAGGCTAGCAGAGATTGTTTGAGGAAATGGACGGACCCCGAGAGGAGGGCAGGCTAGCAGAGAGGAGGAAATGGACGGACCCCGAGAGGAGGGCAGGCTAGCAGGGATTCTTGGGGAACGGCGTTTTCGCTCCTTTAAACGATTTTCTTCCTCTTGTTTTCAGCGTCCGATCCCAAAACATGACCCAAATGACCCCAAAAATAGCTAGAAAATGGCGTCTCAAAACTTTTTCTGGTATTCATGAGATGCTTAGTCAATGGCCTCTGTCCTCGAGAGTTATTTGCCCGCCAGCAAAACACTTTTTTTGCGCCGCTGGTGAAAGAATAATTGCTTGCTGCTACCCCGGCGGGGGTCATTGGAAGGCAATCCGGGCGCCGAGGGTGAACTTTGATTTTTCGGGGGTTGAGGATTGGAAATTAAGGGGATTTTCCTCAAGAATCTCTGCTAGCCTGCCGAAATATTACTTCGCATTTGCGGCCCATATTATTGAAAATAACATATTTTTTAAATAGTATTGCGTGGATGGAACATAAAATTTTGCAGATTGTCGAAAATAAATGTTTCACCTATTTTCAGGTAATTATTAATGGCGCCAAGTATAATCTACTTCGGAAAGAAATGCCTTCGAAAACGGACCTGTCGAATCATGAGCTCGTCGAGAATCTGTGAGCTCTTGGCCCCCTCCGGGATCGGCATCTCGATGTGGTCGATTTCGTCGAGGGACAACCGTCTGAAATTTGTTGATTTATTTGAAAAAAAATTTATATAACTTTTATAGCTTTTTTAAAGTTAAAATTTCCTTAATAAATAGCTTCTTTGGGCTTCAATTTATATTAAGTAAAACTTATGTAATTATAGCATTTTTAAGGTATAAATTTATATAAATTTAATGTTATGAAATTATTTATCTATTGATTTTCCAGAAATTTTTATGATTTTTTAAAATATAGCTGAGTTTTGTATTATTAGGCTTTTGGCGTTACAAAAGTCGAGATCTTAAATTAACCAACTACCAAAAAGGTAAATACTTGATTTTTGATGAAACATATTTTTTCCAAAGAAATCTCAAAATTTTTGATTAGTTTTACATTACACTTATTAATAATTAAGCCAACTCCCATTAAGATTAAAGTTATAATTTCACAAAGAAAAAGCAGTACCTGCACATCTCCTTGACGGTGACAATCTCCCACTCGCGGTTGAGGTACGACGTGCCGAACAGGGGCGCCGCCGGCTTTTCGCCTAAAAATGGCAAATAGATTATTTTACAATTTCTATATTTGATCTACTTATTAAATAACTTACTATTTTCGTTTTTTATTAGATTTTGCGATATGCGAAAAAAATTAAGCAAATCACCACGGCCCCGCACCGACTGACTGACCGAAACATAATTTTTTACATTTTTAAAGCATGTTTTTGGAATAAGAAATACTAATAAAATAAATATTTAATATAATTGGAGATAGTAATATTTATATACTAATCAAACTATATATTTTTGAATCCTAGAAAAATATGTTTTGCAAAATTCCGATCAAAAGGGAGTTGTTAAACGTCATTATCCTGGCAGGATTTTTTCGAAAAACGTAGGATAAAATAATCAACGATTTGCAATTAAAACTATTCGATAATTATTCGTAATTCTATGGTTTTATTAAAGTCTCTAAAAAAGACAAAAGAAAAATTTTCTACATTACCAAAAAAGGTTTCAAAATATTTACTGCTGCTGGTGAAATGGCATCGTTTAATTTTGCGTTATGGCTCAGAATTCAAGCGTTGTTTAAACAACGTAAAAAAAGGTTCGTAAAAATCAGGTTAAAATTTTAGAAGAATTAAATATTTGAAAAACGTCATGAACGCTAATTTCTCGAAAAATGTTTCATAAATAAAAGTCGAAATTTTCGTTTTTTTGTTCGTTAATGAGGCGACACAAATTGGAAACTCCCTAACAAACCAATAAATTCGAGCATTTCCCGGTCGATGGTCTCGCCCATTTTGGAGACGATATGCGAAAGGCGGCGGCCGCCCTCGCGCGATATTTTTCGGGTTGAGAGGGAGAGACGCCGGAAACGGTCCTCGAATACGGTGGGGGAGAGCTCTTCGCTCATTTGGGAGGCTAGGGAGGAGCCGAGGCTTGTTGTGGATTCGCCTACTTTTCCCATTAGGGAAGATACGGAGGAGAGCATGGCGGTGGAGTACGTTTAAATACGTAATGCGTAGCGTAGCCTTGCGTAGTCTCCGGTAGGGTACTTCTGGCTTCGGTAGGGCTAATAGAACGACTGGATTTTGTCGTTGCGTACGTTTAGATACGTTTGGATATGTAGCGTAGCCTCGCGTAGTCTTTAATTTGCGTTAGAGTACGGATGGGTACTTTAGGATACGGAAAGTCCCAGCGTATCGTAACGTACGTTTAGATACGTAATACGTAGCGTAGCCTCGCGTAGGCCTGAATTTCCGTTAGAGTACGGATGGATACGATAGAGTACAACAGAACGACAGGATCTTGTCCCTACGTACGTTTAGATACGTAATACGTAGCGTAGCCTCGCGTAGGACCGTTACGATTTCCGTTAGAGTACGTAAGAATACGCTAGTGAATGGCGTACGGTAGGCTAGGGTATAATACGGTAGGATACATGGATGGGTAGGCCACTTCAATGGCCCTTTAAAGGGGTCGTCGGCAGGTGCGAAGCGTAGTCAATTTTCCAACAACTAATTCACCCGTATTGATGAGGCTCGAATCTCCACCAGTTCCGGGCTGAAGTCAAACACATTTTTTCATCAAATCCGGAAAATCAGGAAATTGACGGGCAAAACAATCGGGTACAGGGTAAGGGAGCGGAAATTTCGGAAATTAGTAAATTGGCAAGTTGAGGGGGAAGTTCATGTTTTTCGCGTGATTGCGAGGAATTTGGGAAAAACGTCGAAAATATTTTGCAAGAAACATCTTGAGTGATTAATCTTTTGAATTGGATCGTGTAGTTAAAAAAAACTGAAACATTTTTCTAAATTTTAAAATTTTAAGGAGGTATACGGTATATTTTGGAGATTTTTCGGCGCAGTGACTATACATTAATTTTTTTCTCTATAGTATTAAAATACCACAGGTTTTTATAAGACTCGGGTTGGTTACAATGAAATAAAAATCGTGGATTGAAAAAAGCTTCCGTTTTGGAAAAAGTATGCAACATGTATTTTTAAAAACCCTGAAATCGCAATTGCAGTATTCGGACTATTGAATTTCTACAAGCCGTAAAGCAAGTCAATGGGATAAAACAAAAAATAAAAATTTTAGATTTTTTTTAAAAGTATGTATCAGACATTTCTAAAATAGACTAATTTTACATTTTTCTTAATTTTATTTACATAAAAGCATCGTTGAATTTTTATTAGGATCAATCATCCAACCCATGAAAGAACCAAAAGCTTCTGGACTGCTACACTTCAAGATTCCAGTAGAGGCCACGCCCCTTTTCCGGGTGACATTGAGGAGGGGGCGGGGCTTGAATTTGGACACGGCTTGGAGCTACGGTAAGTGTCATAATTTTGATTCGTTTCGTCGGTTGAACCGATGATTTCAAGGGCTTATAGAGCTCAAACCCTAGCTGGCAAAACAATTTTTCTCGGAGAAAAAAAAAGAAAATTCAAGATTCAGGAAAGAAAATATAAAAATCTCTGTCTTACTAAATCATTAAAATCTAGTGAAAGGTCGATTCAAAAAAACGGCTAATATAAAATCTGTTAACAACAGTAATAATAAATACAATCTATCAAAAAAGTGAAAATTCATAACAATTTCAGATTTCCGCAGCGAGCTGAAAAAGTATGGTTCCAAAACTTTTCACCTTCGGGAAGATTCGAATTTCTATAATTCCAAACAGCTGCTCATCGAAAATTACTAAAAAAAGCCTTATATTACGATTGAAACTGTAAAACCCGGTAAAATGTCAGTTTTCTTCCAAGAAAAGAATACGTTTCAAAAATTTCAAAATTCAAGCTGCCGACGATTCGATAATTGGCGAAAATAAGAAGGTTGTTTGAATGGAAACAATAAGTTTAGAAAGCCCGGACGAATTAGATCCGAAAAAATTTCAGAAAACGTTGAAAACGAAAGATAGCTCGAACCAAAAAAAGTTTCACTTCTCCGCCTCAAAAAACCTGTCAACCTCAGGGCCCCCGAAAAAACATGTAGGCGTGTGAGTTGACGAGGGGTCTCGGAAAAAAGAAGTAAAAGAATCCAACCAGGCCCAGAAAATGCGCCCCCAGGCGTCAAACGTAAAGCCGGATGCCGAGAAGCCAGAAGAAGAAGAAGCTTGGGCCGGGGCTACAAATCCCTTGGGGGCAGCCCATTTCTGGATGGGCCCTAACGAAAAAGGCAAATCCCGCTCAGATGCCACCGGAAAAGCCGGATTTTAAAAAAATGTCGCCCTCCGCAATCCGGTTGGGTGGGCGGGTGGAAAGTTGCGGAATTTAGGAAATTTCGGAAATTTCGGGTAAGATATTTCGAGTAGTCTATCTCACCTCTCTCGCTCTCTCTCTCTCTCTCTCTCTCTCTCTCTCTCTCTCTCTCTCTCTGGCTCTCTGGCTCTCTGGCTCTCTCTCACTCTCTCGCTCCCTCACTCTCTCTCTCTCTCTCTCTCTCTCTCTCTCCTCTCTAAGCGCAGACACTTTGCAAATTCTCATTAAGATTTACAAAATACAGATTTTTGGCCAAGATCTCGAATTTAAATGAATTCAATAAAAGATTTTAGACATTTTTAACCGGAAAGCTAGTTAAATTTTATTAAACAATTATTGAAATACATATCATTAAGTTACTGCGGTTTTTGGGATTTATGCAAAACTTCGACCGCTCCCCCCGTTAATGCAAAAGCACCTGTCCATACGTGTGTCCAAGGGAATTAAACTTTGTTTTGGTTCCGGATTATGGCGTTTTGTGAATTTAACTCACACATATTTTTGAATCGTGCTTTCAAATCTCAAAACATGTTTCAAAAAAATGGAGATTCCAAGGCTCGGCGGGACATTCAATCGAAACTTCTTAGGGAAATCTCGCTTTCTTTGCTTTAAAATATTATCTTTGACGTAAAAAGATTTTTAAAGGGATGGTGCCAGAAAAAGCAAAAAATAGGGATGTCACCCCGCCTTTAAAATCAGCCTAAAGAACGGGGATGGCCATGAAAAGGGGCAGTCCTTTTTCTTTGAGGCCCAATTATATTCGAGCCGGGGGAACTTCCGGCATCTGTCCATCTCTGTCTCTGTCTCTCTCTGTCTCTCTCTCTCTCTCTCGCTCTCTCTCTACCCTTTAAAGGCTTCACCCCCATTTCCAGAAAGGCAAAAACACACTCTGCATTTGCACACACCACATCGAGCCCATAGTGCCAATCGGGGAATCGGGCGGAAAAAGTCATTGTTTTTCGGGGGAAGCGGAAGGAGGCGCACCCCGGATTTGGCCTATTTTTATAAATTCGCAATTGAAAGAAAGTAAACGAAGCAAAAATTCTGAGGTGTTTAACGGGTTTTTTGAAATATTATTTATTTATTTATAGGATTAAAACCTGCTGGGTTAATAGCTTAAAGGTTAAAAAACAGAAATACGAAGCAGCGAACGTGCTATTTTAAATGCCATAATGTTGTCCACACTAATATCGCAAAAAGATTTTTCATTTTTTGTGAATTTTTGAAACAAATAATTTTTATATTCGAAAATTAACAATTCGAGAATTAATTAAAAGTCCTAATTTACTCATTATCTAAACTTGGATATTTCCATAAATCGAGAAAAATAATTTAAAAACGGGTAAAAATCCGGAAGCCTGAGAAAAAGTTTTAAACGATTTTTGATCAATGAAGCATCATGTTTAAATAAAAATAAAATACAAAAATCTATCGAAAAACTACTGGAAATATTAAGCGGTAATGCGGCGGCTAATTACGGTAGTTAGGTCAATAGATCTAAATAATAAAATTAAAAAAAATTATGTGTTCCGGAACGCTTCTCAAGTTTTGAAAAAACGAAACATACTTTTTCATAGAAAGTCTCATTTTCAAAGCCAAGTTTTCCCCTTAAAATTTATAAAAAGAAAGGAAAAATGGCCCGAATTTTTGCAAGAAAGCGTGGGTGGTGGTGGTGGTCATGAGACGCTTCGTTTTGGTTTCCGGGCCGACTTTTGGAAAAGAGAGAAAAAGAAGGGGTGAGAAGCCCTTCTTTCCGTTTAAGGAGTTTCTGTTTCTACTCT